GCTCAAGGCAGAGAGGAGGAGGGAACTAAGTTCTTGCAGGAGGAGTGCTCGCCTCCAGGCCAGGAGAGGCGAGTCACCTGTGGACCGGGGCCACCCTATGCCTCGGGGCAGATAAAAGCCAGCCAGCCCAGTCCCAGGTTGCGGGAGCAACATTGTTGGTGACCTGTTCCTGCCGGCACCCTGTCCTGCTCTTCTGCCAGAGTTCCTGACCCCAGCCAACTCCTTGCCTTGGACCCCGCTTCAGCCTTAACGGATGGCCTCCATACCACACCCTTGACCTCGGACTGGACTCAGACCGTGCTGCACGGTAACCCCCCGGGACCAGCACACTCAGCAACTGATTTTCATGGAGTGGGACCACCGGGAATGAGCTGCTGTGCTCATTCGGCCTGACACTCAACCAAGTTTGTGGAGATCATGTTTTTGCTAATAAAGAGTTAAGACCAACTTTGAAGGGTGTGATTTACTGCTGGCTCGCTCTTTGGCAGATGCTGATGAATATATTTTGTGGGCCTCACCCTCTGTGGAACATGAGTTAACAGGGCATACTGATTGTATAATAAACACTTCCTCTGGAAGCACGCATCTCATGCCATAAATTTAGCTATGAGGGTGATAACGATGTGGATTTGTGCTCTGTTTCCGCAAGTGCATAAGCCAACAGCAATAAACCAACGGGTCAATTGGTCTTTATTGTTGGCGTGCCCATTGTGCCCACCCTATTAAAAACAACCAACTTGTTCAGCTGGAATAACTTTGCATTTGTCCAAAGATTCATTCAAACGGCAAAATGTTATGATGAAGCTAGGCTGGTGTTCGATCGGTGCATTGAACATTTTATTAAGGAAAAGATTTGAATTAAATGAACTGGAGGGAAACTGGAGGAACCCTCCACAGCATTTCACAAAAATAATTATTCATGCATCAAATTCCCTTGAAATTGTTTTCTCATATTAACAAAACAGAACTGACTGCATGGATAAATATTTTGAAATTGCTGATACGCATACACACAAACACCTTAACTTGTTGTTTGTTTCCACCTGTATTTTTAAATTTATATATTTATATTTTTTGTAACTTTGTAAACTGCTTAGAGGTCTTCTGTTGAATAAGCGGTATCTACATTTTATAAGTCATTGAATAAGTCATTGCAAGATGTTTGGTCGGGTACTGACCTTGAGGCCATGGGTGACAGCAGCCACAACCATGAAAAGGCACACTCTTGCTCCATGTTGTGCGTCATGAAGAGACCAACACTTCTCTTTAGTTTGCGGAAGCACAATCAATATGGATGCTGATGCTGTCATTCAATCTCCAAATGGAGATGTACCAGTTGTGGATGATCTAACTATATCCAACCATTACTTTGAAGCATTTAATTGTTAACAAGAGAAAGAACAAGCAAATGAGGAATACATTTCCCAGTATGGGAAGCAAAAGCACGTGAAGGATATATACTTGCTAGGCATGCCTTGACTGGAAGAAACATTGTGGGAAGATTTGTAGGGATGATGGTATTTAAGTAATAATAATAATAATAATAATAATAATAATAATTTTTATTTATACCCCGCCCTCCCCAGCCAAGGCCATGCTCAGGGCGGCTAACAAGCAATAATAAAAACAGGTTGAATGAATACAACTTAAAGGCAAGATTAAAATACAATTAAAATACTGAAACATTAAAATATTAAAATGCAGCCTCATCACAAGAGAAAGGAAAAAGGAAAAAGAAAAAAGAAAGAGGGGGAGGGAATCAAATTGGCTCCAAGCCAAAGGCCAGGTGGAACAACTCTGTCTTACAGGCCCTGCGGGAAGAAATCAGATCCTGCAGGGCCCTGGTCTCATGAGACAGAGCGTTCCACCAGCCGGAGCCAGTGTTGAAAAGGCCCTGGCTCTGGTTGAGGCTAATCTAACTTCCTTAGGGCCCGGGACCTCTAGGGTGTTGTTATTTATGGACCTTGAGGCTCTCCGTGGGGCATACCAGGAGAGGCAGTCCCGTAGGTACGAGGGTCCTAGGCCGTGAAGGGCTTTAAAGATCAAAACCTTAAAGCCGACCCTGTACTCCACCGGGAGCCAGTGCAGCTGGAAAAGCACTGGGTGAATATGCTCCCATGGCAGAGACCCCGTGAGGAGCCTCGCTGCAGCATTCTGCACCCTCTGGAGTCTCTGGACAGCTTCAAGGGCAGCCCCACGTAGAGCGAATTACAGTAGTCAAGCCTGGAGGTGACTGTCGCATGGATCACTGTAGCCAGGTCGGGGCGGGAAAGGTAAGGGACTAACTGCTTGATGCGGCGAAGGTGGAAAAATGTGGCCTTGGCTGTTGCTGTAACCTGCGCCTCCATGGAAAGGGAGGCGTCAAGGATTACACCCAAACTCTTAACGGAAGGCAATGGCACTAATTGGGCCCCCGCAAGAGAAGGGAGTTGGTCCCTCATTTTGTAGAGTGCAGTGGCAAAATTGCATAAGCGCTCTCTCTCTCTCTGTGTGTGTGCATGTTTGCAGAAGGTGTGTGTGCGCGTGCATTTAGCTGGAAATATTTGTATGCTTGATATACAAATCGAAGACCCACTCATCTGTACAGGAGCTGCGCTCCCTTCTGTATGCAAACCCACAGGCTCAAGCCAAGCCAGCTTCCTCCCACAGTGGTTTGCTATCTCCCAGTATTTAAAAAGCACAGTGTGCTGCAGGAGTGCTAATTCAGTCTACCCACAGCTTCCTTTGTGTCTGCTTGATGTGATGGCTAGTCTGTTGGATCTAATTGGATACTTGTCCTGGTAATGCACGTCAACCCATCTGGACCTGAAGTCATCCATCAAGTGCAACCGCAGGAAAGGCTACGGAACTGGAATTGGCAGGTGCTTACAAGGCAGCCATACTGAACTGAACCACACTGTGCTGTGTGCGCGTTCACACTCTGAGCGGAGCAACACGCCAAAAGAGATCAATGGGGACATTGATCAGTTAATCAGTTCATAATATTTTTCAACAACATCCCAAGAAATGTCGTCAAACAAAACCGATCTATATTCTGTACTGTGTTTTCCATGCAAGGTTCTTTCATTTGCTGTGTTTTAGCTATTTATAAAGGATCGCAGCCAACGAAGACATGTGCAGAGGAGGCCCATTGAACCCAATGGACTTCACCATCTAAAGTGCACTTATTTCAGTAGGTTTACTCTGAGTATGACTTAGTTGGCTATGGGAAAGGGGGTTACTGTTTTGCTGTTTCGTTTCAGTTATTTGCTGGTTTTTATCCTGTATTTTATTCTGTGAACTGCCCTGAGATCTTATGATGAAGGACAGTATTGAAATCGAATAATAATAGTAATAATTCAAGGTTTCTTTCAGCATGAAGCCAACAGCCTGCTTCATGTAGTAAACATATTCCACAATTGCAGTGTTACATAATGGAGGTTACTGATATCAGGGGAAATGGGGAGGAATTTAACATAGCACTATAGAGATTGTTAAAGGTAAAGGTACTCCTGCCCGTACGGGCCAGTCTTAACAGACTCTAGGGTTGTGCGCCCATCTCACTTAAGAGGCCGGGGGCCAGCGCTGTCCGGAGACACTTCCGGGTTATGTGGCCAGCATGATGAAGCTGCTCTGGCGAGCCGGCACCAGCGCAGCGCACAGAAACGCCGTTTACCTTCCCACTAGAAAGCGGTACCTATTTATCTACTTGCACTTAGCGGTGCTTTCGAACTGCTAGGTGGGCAGGAGCTGGGACCGAAAGACGGGAGCTCACCCCGCTGCGGGGATTCGAACCGCCGACCATGCGATCGGCAAGCCCTAGGCGCTGAGGTTTTACCCACAGCGCCACCTGCGTCCAATAGAGATTGTTAGGTCAGTGCAAACTTTTCAGCTTGCCAGAGCAAAAAAATGGCCCATCTCCTTGCCCCTGCACTGTTCTGGGAGTTCCCCTGACACCCACCAAGTGCCTGTGTGTGTGTGTGTGTGTGTGTGTGTGTGTGTGTGTGTGTGTGTCAAGGACACACAAGGAAAGGAGAGGGAGCAAAAACCCCTGTTGGACTAGTGGAAGACCATGCACTTCCACTTCTGCTAGCTGAATGGCCCATGCATTTTGAGGTGCAATGTACAATTTTGCTGCTTTCATTCTACATCTGGTCTAAGAACTTTTGTGGACACCATGTGGGATTTTGAACCTGGACCAAGCTGCAAATAAAATAAAATAAAATAAAATTTAAATTTTTTAAATACAATTTTAAAAACTGGCAAGTTGTTTTAAAAAGAACAACAGCTTCATACAGTTTACCAGTTTGAAGAAGTACTTCTTCAACTTTAACAAACAACCCAAGAAGAATCCCAGCCTTCGCCATGGAACGTGTGGACAGGGAAAGATGTGACTTCAGGCCACAAACTGCATAGGGCTCAGGTCTCATTAGAAACATAGAATTCTAGAGTTGGAAGGGACCCTGAGGATCATCTAGTCCAGCCTTCTGCAATGCAGGAATATGCAGCTGTTCCATACAGGGATCAAACCTGCAACCTTGGTGTTGTCAGCACCACACACTAGCCGAGTGAGCTATCCAGGCATCAGCATGCTATTAGCCACATACCAGAGACAATATTTCTGGCTCCAGGAATCTCTCTGCATTTTCATGGAGGGGGTGGGACCTGGGAGAGAGGGACTTGTCCATCATCAGTTTCCTGTCTCAGGGATGGGGTGAGCCAGAGCTGCCGCTTGGATTAATTGGCATTCCCTATAGGCACCTAATATGGGACGCGGGTGGCGCTCTGGGTTAAACCACAGAGCCTAGGACTTGCCGATCAGAAGGTTGGCGGTTCGAATCCCCACGATGGGGTGAGCTCCCGTTGCTCGGTCCCAGCTCCTGCCAACCTAGCAGTTCGAAAGCACATCAAAGTGCAAGTAGATAAATAGGTACCACTCCGGTGGGAAGGTAAACGGCGTTTCCGTGCGCTGCTCTGGTTCGCCAGAAGCGGCTTAGTCATGCTGGCCACATGACCCGGAAGCTGGCTCCCTCAGCCAATAAAGCGAGATGAACGCCGCAACCCCAAAGTCGGTCACGACTGGACCTAATGGTCAGGGATCCCTTTACCTTTATAGGCACCTAATAGGGGACCACCACTACTTTAGCAAAGGTCCAGAGAAGCTTGGAGGTTTATATCCCTTCAGTGACCTCTGCCTCCTTTCTGGCCATCTGCTGGGTGTCAATGCACACCTGGTTCCTGGCTGGCTTCTCCCTCCTCTCAAGGAGACCCCAGGTAATGAAGTCATCTGGCTGCTAGCTCTCCTCCACCAGCTCTGAGCAGCTTGCCAGGTCTTCTATTCCCTCTGTTCCTGGGTGGATGGGAGCTGAGGGGAGATCCAGGTGTGGTGCATGGGCATCTAGGCAAAGTGTCCTTGGGACTGGGTCACTTGGTGTCAAAGAGCGAGCCAGCAGTAAATCACACTGTTCCCATTTGGAGTTAACTCTTTATTAGCAAAAACACGATCTACACAGACTTGATGGTGTGTCAGGCCTGGCGAGCACAGCAGCTCATCCCTGGTAGATCTCGCCCCATGAATCAGTTGCTGAAAGTCCCCACCTCCCCACAACTGTCTCAAGTCCTCTCCTCTCCAAGCAACTGAGAGACGATGTCTGTGTGCAGCCTTGGAGGACTCTGCAAAGCTCCACTCCTCTTTCTTGAATGAGATGTCCTCCACTCCATTCCCCCCAGAGCCATGGCTGGGATGGACTGTGTGACAGAAGCATTGCCAAAGGGAAGGAACGGCAGCAAGTATATGAGGGAGCGTTTTAGGCCAGAACACCATGTTAAGGTTTTGCACCAAGGTTAGAAAACAGGTTAGGGATGAGTTTCAGGAACCCACCCTGAGGTGAGGAGAAGGAGGCTAAGCAAAAGACTTCATCGATATAATTAGCCACCTCGCCTTCTTAAAAGTGTTTTAAAAGGTGGAGGATGACGAAGTGTTAAAAACTTATTTTAAAGTAGTGCTGAGCAGGCAAACATGTGAGGTGCTTGGAAAAAACCAAAGTGGACTCTGTGTGTGTGTGTGTGTGTGTGTGTGTGTGTGTTTGCAAATAGGAAGAAGCAACTGGGATTCTGTCCAGAAAAACTGAGGGGAAGCAGAGCTCACTCAGAAGCAGAAAAAGCCACCCCCACAACTATTTTCAAGTACATCTATACATATTTCTCAACACTCCTAAGGCGAAGGTGGGTTTTTTAGACATCAGCACCCTCACTCACAATTGGCCCAGGCTGAGTTGTGGTAATAGCTGCAAATTCAGTGAGTACCTTTTCGCTCTATGATCGAGTTCTTAAGAAAGAAACATGGAGGGGGGGGGAGGAGGCGCTATTATGACACCTAGCCACCCACTCCCAGCTGCCACACAGCAGTCCCATATTTATTGTGGGAACAACGACACAAGTTCAGTCAGAACCCCCCGAGTGTGGTGTTCTGCCTGTGTCTGAAAATAACTTTTAAATGTAGGGCCGTCCTCTGTGTCCAGAGCTGGGGAAGCCTCAATTCTGAAACCCCTTGAGGACTCTGAAGTTCCCTGTACACCTATTTAGACAGAGGTCTTCATCTCAGTCAACATGGGTTTATTAATCCAACTCCCAGCCCACCCTCTCGGTCTAATCCTCTGGAGAGCCAAGGGCTAAAGTGTGGCACTGAAATGCTTTGCTCTGGTGCCAAAATCCTTTCTCCATCATTGATTGCCGGGGCTGATGAAGTGCGGGGGCGGGGAGGGGATTTTAAGCAGATGATGGGCGGAGGACGGGGGGACAGGCTGCAGAACAACCCTGGAAACCTGGGACGTTGGCAGCAGCCTAGACAGAAGAGAAGGCTGGAGAAGAGCCTTAAATAGAAAGCGTGGAGGCAGCCATGGGGAGTGGAGCGAGCGAGAGAGCAAGCGTTCCGCTCCCTGCCTTGCTTTTCCTTTTCTTCCAGTTATTTCTGTCCTCCCTCCTCCCTCCCTCCTGCAGCCTGAAATTAAAATGTTACAAAAATCCAAGATTTCGAGATGGGAAATTGTATGTTGCGAGCAAAAGCAGCAATTACAGAACTGAGCACGGGAATTCTGAGGCAGACCTAACCGTGGAAAAAGGACGAGGCAGCCCTCCGGGTGTCAGGTTTTGTTATGTTATCATTAAAGGTGTCACGAGTGGGAGACAGCCAGATCCGACTTGGAGATCGCAACCCACCAGAAAGTTCTCCTCTGAAGCTCAAGCATGAGGACTTCCCAGTGGGTTGTGTCTCCCCCGCTACACTTACACACACTGTTAACTGGCAAGAAGGGAGATGCATTTAGATTTCCCACTCAGGTACCAAAATATCTTGAGCGAGCCCCGTGGAAATAAGAGTCTCTGCTAGGAGGGTTTCCCCACTGCCGCCATGTGGGCTGGAGGAGAGAAACGAGGACCAGGAACAACCAGCGACCAGAATGGAGTTGATCTTCCTTTTGCCCAGAATCAACATGTTAAGCAATGCCTTACATTTCCCAAGCCAACTCCCTAGACAGATTTCTCCCCGTAATGAACTGCTATGTGCTCTCCAATTCCCTAGCAGCGAGACATTCCTGTACTACCAGCTTCCCTTCAAGGGAGGACAGAGGGCACTGGCGGTTTATGATTTATTTTCTTTAAAAAATAAATAAATGCTTTGTTCTTAAACAGGGGTAGGCAACCTAAGGCCCGGGGGCCGGATGCCGCCCAATCGCCTTCTCAATCCAGCCAGCAGACGGTCCGGGAATCAGCATGTTTTTACATGAGTAGAATGTGTGCTTTTATTTAAAATGCATCTCTGGGTTATTTGTGGGGCCTGCCTGGTGTTTTTACATGAGTAGAATGTATGCTTTTACAGTGGTACCTCGGGTTAAGAACTTAATTCGTTCTGGAGGTCTGTTCTTAACCTGAAACTGTTCTTAACCTGAGGTACCACTTTAGCTAATGGGGCCTCCCGCTGCCACCACGCCGCCGCCGCCGCTGTGCAATTTCTGTTCTCATCCTGAAGCAAAGTTCTTAATCCAAGGTACTATTTCTGGGATAGCGGAGTCTGTAACCTGAAGTGTCTGCAACCTGAAGCATCTGTAACCTGAGGTACGACTGTATTTAAAATGCATCTCTGGGTTATTTGTAGGGCATAGGAATTTGTTCATTATTATTTTTTTCAAAATATAGTCTGGCCCACCACATGGTCTGAGGAACAGTGGTCCGGCCCACGGCTGAAAAAGTTTGCTGACTCCTGTTCTTAAATATGCAAGCAGTAGCATTAATAGAGGCAAGCAGCATGTTCACTGATGTGAGAAAGCAATGTGCTACCTCACACCAGATCTCTGCACCCTAAAATGCTCCTGGCCTCCAGCTGATTCTTCTGACTCTCCCTAAACTGCGTAGAACCATAGAGGTGGAAGAGACCCTGAGGGTCATCCAGTCCAACCCCCTGCGACACAGGAATCTTTTGCCCAACGTGGGGTTCAAACCCACAGCCCCGAGGTTAAGAGCCTCATGCTTTACTAACTGAGCCACCCCAGCATCTTGTTCTGTTCCCTCTCACACACAAGGAACCTGACCTTTCCCTTTAGCTATGGAGGGTGGGATTGGTGACCGCCACCAAACTACAATAGCCGGCAACCTGTCTGCAGAAGACGCATGCTCATGTGCAGGTACAGCTTGCTGAACGATACTAATAGTATCTGCACTGGTTGCACTAATAGTATCTGCACTGGTTGCACTGGTAGGGAACTCCCTAGGGCAGCTGAGCCAGCCCTGTAAGCAAAGCCCACTTGCAAAGGAAACATCAGGAGCTCCTGTTAAGTTCCTAACTGTTCATTGGAGCCACTGTTCCTTTCTCGCCCCACACCAGACATGATGCCTGGTCCAATGCAACGACACCAGGGGGTCAGTAGCTGGCTGCCCACTGACCCCTTTTCACCCCACCACATTGAACAAGTTTGATCATCTGATTTCCCCTTCCAAACATTGCAGAGAGATCTCTGTAGTGAGAAAGCATCTTCTGGCCACCAGCTCCCATAAAGAGACATCTACCGGCCGCCTTGGGCCATTAAGAAAGGTTAACATTCTTTTCTCAAATCCCAAGCTCTGCCCAGGCATCGCTTTAAGGCAAAAATATATATAATATAATAAAAATGGGTAATGATCGGCTTGCTCACAGCAGTCAGGCAGCAAGCAGCCCACAAGAGCACACAGTCAGCCATTAGCTTTCAGTATTTTGCAAAGTTTTATTTTAAAAATGTTGAAACTTACATCCCACAAGAATTTAAGAATTTCACCACGAGGAGAAGAAAACCCTACAAAAATATATCGTACGGTAAAGAAGGGGCAGGAGAAGGGCAAGACACACGAAAGACCCTGCTTCACACACGACAGATGTGCTAGGCACAGGTAGCACTTCCAGGAGAGAAACTTGCAGGGACACTGTCACACGTCTCACAAATGCACATGCGTTTATTTGGCCACAAGTCGACTCGGTGGGTGGCGGGTTCCCCAGGCATGAAGACATGCCAGACAGGCATTTGTTACATGTGACAGTGGTGTAATTGGGGGGTGGGAGGGAGGAGAGGAGAGGAGAGGAGAGGAGAGGAGAGAATCTCTTGCAGGTCCTTCCTCTTCCTCTTTTAACCAAGCCTATTCAGAAGACTCCCCAGAGCATCTTTGGCCATGACCCAATCTGCCAAGAAACAGACAATTGTACGCAAAAAAATAATCTATTTATATTACAGCGTTATAGTGCTATTTCCATACTACAGAGGAAATTGCGACATTGATTTTATTTATTTATTAATGCTTATTATTATGGCAAAACTCCATGCCCCGTTCAGCCCCACTGCTGAACCTCTTGCCTCTGGCTGCTACTCTATATTTGACTGCTCACGATCACTACAGGAGCAAGCATCCGTTTCCTACATGGAAGTGACATTTGTGCAGGAAATTTGTCATGGGTTAGCCAAGTCGCCCAGAGTGGGCAGGAGCTGTGATTGGAGGAAGCTAAGAGGGGGAGGTGGTAGCCAAGCAGAATAAAAGCAAGGATAGCAGAGATGCCCACCTAGTACAGGCAAGGGCCAGGCACCTCCGCTGTCTCCCAAACGCCCCGCTGGCCTTGCCCTCCCTGCCTTTGCCTGCATCTCAAATCTCTTTCCAGCACCTTTTCTCTCCCCACCCCCAACCCCTCCACCTTTCTTTTCCTATACCCTATTTTTTGCTTTATAAGACTCACCTTTCCCCTCCTAAAAAGTAAGGGGAAATGTGTGTGCGTCTTATGGAGCGAATACAGGCTGTGCAGCTATCCCAGAAGCCAGAACAGCAAGAGGGATTGCTGCTTTCACTGCGCAGCGATCCCTCTTGCTGTTCTGACTTCTGAGATTCAGAATATTTTTTTTCTTGTTTTCCTCCTCCAAAAACTAGGTGCGTCTTGTGGTCTGCTGCGTCTTATAGAGCAAAAAATACGGTAATTGGCTCACTTAAGGCTGCGATAGCTGAAAGAATCGACTCTTTGTTCTGACTGGGGTTGGACAGGAGTTGTTGTGACTGAGTCCAAATGAAACAGATTTTTACTGTGTGTTTTTTTAATTGCTGAGAGTCCCCTTGAAAATTCCTATGGCCCCTCCAGACCACTTTTCAGCAGGTGGATTCTGCAACCTGTCATTGATGTAAGAATAGTGTGCTAGTGGTGGATTTATACGGAACCACCCACACGTGATCCCGCTTTATTAGTTATTCTGCGATGCTTCGCCAGTAATATTATTCCCAGTATTGCTGTCCGGAGGGGCGCTCTTGCACTATAGTGCCACAGCAGTGGGACAAAAAAAGTAAGCATTCGTGGTATAAAAGAGTTACAGGATTTCAGCTGGAAGTTGAGAAACATAGACCAGTTGGGTATGTTTGCCCCACAACCTTTGTAGGCATAAACAGTATTGAAGGCTGGGTTGTGTATAACTGTCCCAATACGATCCTGAGCACAAATCATCACAGATGCACAGCGAAAAGGACCTCTGAAGAGGCCCTTATTTTGAAAGGAGGCATATAAATTGACCAAATAAATGCATACACAAATAACTGAAAATCAAGGGGTTTTAAGTTAGTTGCGATTCGTTTGCTCCTTTGGTTCCAAGGGGGACTGGGTAACTCTTAAGGTTTTGCTTTGGGTCCCGTATGTATACAAAAGGGGGGGGGGAATGTTGAAATAAAAAGACAGCCTGCAATCAAACAGGGAGGAAAGTATAAGGACACAGAAAAAGAAAAATGGGAAAAGAAAGAGCATAGTTAGCAGGAAATGGTATTAAGCAGGGCTGTAATATTGGATAGACTTGAGAGGCACACGCAACCCAGAAACCACCAAGGGAGATGGTCTTTCAGGACTTCAACTCAGCTGGAGAGAATGGGGGAAGCTTCCTGGATGAGGAGAGGGAGCCCACCCTGTGGAACGCCCTCCCATCAGATGTCAAAGAGATAAACAACTACCTGACATTTAGAAGACATCTGAAGGCTGTCAGGGAAGTTTTTAATGTGCGACATTTTGATGAATTTTTAGTCTTTGTTGGAAGCTTCTGGAAGCTGGGGAAACCCAGCCAGATGGGCAGGGTACAAACAATAAATCATTATTATATATATCTGAATGCCCTTCCACCAAATCCTTGCGTTGTCCTGGGCCATAATGTGGCAGAATGCAGAAGACCCATCCTACGGCACAGCCACACCATCACATGAGACCTTGTATGACTTCAGCTTGCTGAGAACCTCAACTTTTGTTTTTAAAATATGTTAAGCTGCTGAAATCTCAGAAGCAAAAAGGGGTAGTGGGATGATGTTTCCAGGAACTGGGGAAATGGGGGGGGGCCCTTCTATGTCTTGCATATATGACTAGCGCCCCGCATCTTCGTGGCTACCGAAACTGGAATGAATGGTGTAAAAACAGTAAAAAGGAAAATGGGAGAATTATGCACATCTGCTCAATTTGTGCAATCACTAAGGCTGCTGTAAAGACTGGAATGCCTGACTGCAGAAATGTTAACTTTTTCCTACAGGGCTACCCGCATATTTTTCAGGCATATCTGCATAGTCATAGAGGGCGAGCTTCTTATTTGAAATGAAGGCTGGGGTTCTCAGGGAGCTGAATTCTGCACCTGGCATCACATTCCATGCTTTTCCCACACTTGCATAGAATCGTGGCACCCACACTGGCAGCCCTGGCAAAACAGTAACTGTGATCCAGAGAGTTCTCCTACGCCTTACAGGGGCATGCACGCTGCACCTGTTTAGCCCAGAAGCATTTCCTTGAAAAATAAAATAAAATATAATCAAGCCAAGCAGCTTTTATTCTGCAGGTTCCCTAGGTCACGCAGACTGCACAGCAAGCATTCATCCCATGCTGATTGTGTGTCTCCCCTGCCCACGATGTGGGCTCCTTGGGGATAGTGCAGAACAAATAACTTTGGCCATGCGCTGCAGGGATGGGCTCTGCATTCATCGTACAACCACCCCCTTCAGAAACCTCTAATGTGCTTAGCATCTTGCCCACCTATTTAAGGTGGGTGTTAAATGCAAGCAGCGCTGTCACTGAAAGGATGGTCGTGTTGAAGGGCTTTGGCTCTTTACAGAAATTAAAATATCACCATGTAAGAATCCAAGGGCTCTATGAGGCTGTAGATAGTTCCCTCCCTTCTAGAGTTGACGGCACCCTTGATGATGGTGTGCAGAACTGTCCCACTCTTTCCTCTCTCAGGGCTGGCGTCAAGGGTTGGCATCATTGGGCATCTCAAGTGGCTTTCATTGCCTGTTCACCTGGGTTCTCTGAGTGACTGAGCAGGGACAAGGGCAAGGAGAAGGAGAAGGAGAAGGAGAAGGAGAAGGAGAAGGAGAAGGAGAAGGAGAAGGAGAAGGAGCTTCTGCTGACCTTGCCCTTTCTCTGTGAGCCACGGGGCACATTGAGCCAGGAGGAACATGGTGAGCGAATGTGCAGCAGCAGCAATGAAAAGGAGCTGGGGCTTTTCAGGGAGGGATCTCCCTGGCAAAGGGTCCTTCCAAATCTGGAGATTACGCTGATTTCTGTGCTTAGGTTTTGCAGGCTCTTGCACTGCAAAAGCAGTTGGACCAAAGACGCTGGTGGGTTGGAGGAAATGAACTGGACCATGGGCAGTAAGCGCCACGTCAATTTAATCTCCCCTAGAAATGATTGTGTCTAAATGGTCTGTTAAGTGCAGATGATATAAACGTGAAGAAAGCCAGAGCTTTCACATGGTCACGCAGGTGGATGACCTAATATGAGGACGGCTGTGTTGTTGCACAGACTCCATTATTTTGAAATATGCTTGTTGTAGGAGAGAAGCTATGGAACTATAGAACTGTAGAGCTGGAAGGGGCCTCGAGGGTCATCTAGCCCAACCCCTTCTGCAGTGCAGGGATCTTAACTCGATCATACATGACAGATGGCCATACAATCCCTGCTTAAAATCCTGCAAGGAAGAAGAGTCGACCACCTCCCGTGGGAGTCTGTTCCACTGCTGAGCAGATCTTACTGTCATAAAGTTCTTCCTGGTGTTTAGTTGGAATCTCCTTTCTTGTAACTTGAATACGTTAAGGAGGGGCTACATTTGACTTTGCACAGTTCAGACACTAGAATGCATTGGGCTGCACCTTACGCTGCTATTTCTGCTGCGCGAGAATGGTCTCCTCAAGCCGGGGCATGACCCAAATTTAAATGATTTAGTCCCCTTTAACTTCAGTGCAATTATTAGGTGCTATGCAGCCTGCCAACTTAAAACAGCATCTTGATGGAAATAGCAGGCGATGTTTATCTCCATGCCACAGAAAGCTTACTCTGCTGATTTCTGCAGAAGCAATTGTTAATAAAGGTATAAGGGCAGAGTAAGGTTCCCCACCACAAAACCTGATTAGTTGGCATCCCTGGCCAATATGGGGCTTTGCCAATGAACCTTGTTAGATAGGTATTAAATCTTTATTCACTGTGCTACGAGGACATCTGCTCAAAGAGTGAGGACTGCAGCTGTTCTACTAGGCAGTGCCCTCCAGTTAGCTATCAGGAGGAGCTGAGCACCTAGTACTACTTCTTATATAAACTCCAGGGTCTACTATTCCTTAGCTGAGCAAAAAGCCATCTGCCAGCCATTAACTTATATGCATACTTTTAATTTAAAAATAAAAAAGCTTAGTAAATTACTTTTATGGGGTGTGGGGGGGGGGAACACACACATTTGAACTGAGACTGAACCAAGCTTAGCCAAAAATAACTTGGACAGGAAGCAATTCATGGAACAGGGCCAAAAATTATGCTACGGAAGACAGGGGAAGAGAATGGAGTCTGAAAAAGAGGGAGAGTTGCAACGCTGTCACAGTCGCTGGAGTGAGGGAGTATGGTGTATCTGGAGATGCAGGGAGTGAGACAAAAATACAGAATGTGTTGCTTTGACACTACAGTCCACCAGCATGCCTGAGGCACTCCTTTTCTGCAATTAGCTGGAACTGGAATTAAAACAGAAGTTCCATGCTTGCACATGATAATAGCTCTATGCTATCCAGCAGTGCCTTCCCCCATGACCAAGAATCTCATAATGATTATGAACTGGTAAGTCTAGTTCTATAAAGGCTTTCAGCAATGTTAATTAAAATATTCCTTCTTGAAGATTCTTCCCATTTATTGTTTTTTGGTGAGCAATGGAAAGGGATTACAGTGAATAGCTTAATAACTGTCCTTTCAGCAGCCCCTCTTAATTGCATGTTCCAACTGTAATTTTCTGCTCCTGTGGGAGGATGGAGGCTATAACTACTTATTTCCTCTCATTTTGGCACCTTTACAGCAAAATAATGCTGGTTTGCTTTTAAATAAGAAAGGGGGGAAAGTAATTTAAACCTCTCCCCCTCCCCAAGTGGAACAGAAGTTGACATGAGGGCAATTATGAGGTTGAAAGGCAATAGACAATTTTTTTCATGATTATCCTGTACCATGATCATCAGAAAGCAATAAAATGGACTGCAACTGCAAGCCAGGAAGCATTTAATTAAAGGCACAGGAGCCTCAAAAAGCTCCAATCGTGCTTTGTGTGTCCCTAGTAGACAGGCGCATGTTGCAATCTTTATTGCTACTCCTCTTCCACAACTGCAACAAATCAGGTCTGAAAAAAAAGATGAGAAGCCAACACAGAAAAAACTGGAATGCAATAGGATGACAATGGCGTTGTCTGGATGCACCATAAAAAGTAAGTAAGCAAAGGATGGCAATTCCACAGAAGAGGGTGGGTGCGAAAGCAGCCAAAGAAGATTAGATGACAGATGAGGGAATCGTGTCCATTTAATACCAATGCTGAGTGTCTGATTTTCCTGCATCCCACTTCCCCTCCATATATGCCCATCCCCACGATACAGAAAGGTATTCATTGCCCAGGAGAATGTGATGTGAGATTTGGCTCTTTGGAAGATGCTTCAAAACCGCATGATGAGGAAAAGGAGGAAAGATGGGGAGACACCGAATAGGAAATCCTGCTTCTGCACCCCATTATCAAGCATGCTTACTTAAACATAAATAAATACATGTTTGTGTATGAATGTTTATGCCGGGGGTACATCTTTGAAACGTTACCATGAAGGTGCTAATAGCTCTTGCCTTCTAGGCCTTCCTGCTCACCCCTCTGCTCACATCAGACCACCCCAGTCATCATCTCTGCCATGAGGACCCACCACGGAGCCCAGCTCCTCCTGAGCGAAAACCTTGGTTTGGGCTGGGTCTGCAATGATGACGGAACGTCAGGGCACAAAGGGATCTACAATACTTCTGCTGCTGCGTGAGGAGTAGCAGTACCATAGTCGCAGGCGGATGGAACTAAAAGGGAGGGCTGCCAGTTCTATGGGACTCAGTGTTTGGTCTCGCAACGAAGGAGCCGGGCCTGCTGCTTCCAGGGCAATCACAGGTTCACCAGGGGGATCCTGAGCAGGAAACAAGGGCGGAAGGAGAGAGAAAGGGGAAGAGAAAGAGAGAGAAAGAGTAAGAGTAAGAGTGATGAACAATGCTCCCTGTGTTCAGAGGTAAGGACAAAAGCTGTTTCATCTGGTCTCTTGTTCTTTTGTCATAGGGTGCACTTCTAAGTCTCCCCCAGACCCTTTGTACTACAGCAGAGGTTCTCAAACTTCTTCTTTTCCTGGGCCACGTTGAGAATAAAAATTTGCTGGCACCACACTGAATTTTTTTTACGTGGGAAAACAAAAAGAAACGACTCCTAGCAGTGCTTTGTTTGTAACACAGAGCACAACTACTTTATAATATGATCATGCATCAGGACTGAGGAGGAATGGTGGGAGTCACATGCCCCCCCCTTTCCTGAACCTTCCCAAAGGCAGGAGGATAGTATTGATTTAGAACAGTGGTTTGCAGAGGGGCATAGTCCAGAGGGGGAACGCTGGGAAATACTGGGTGAGGAACAGCTAGAAGACCACCCCCCTTTGCCTAGGACTAGACGGGCACTTAGGGTGATAGAACAGAAAGCGCAGGGAAACAAGATCAGATTACCCGACATAGGAGTGACGTAGATTAATGGGGACGGAGGGGGTAAACCTTAACTGGGAGCAACGGCATTTTTAGAGAGATATGCATTCCTTTTGTCTCTCGCTGTGCTTATTAAATAACTTATCTGGTAAGAACGCGCCTTTCGTTTGATCTTCTTAATTACTGCTCCAGGGGGGGGGGTCTGATTCCCTAAAGCCTGACATCATGGGGCATCCGGAAAATATAAAGCAATGCAGCTACATAAGAACACAAATCATTCCCAAAATATGAACAAGCTTCATGCATATTTACCTTAAGTATGCCTACAAACTCGATGAGAGGTATGAGCTTGCAGTTGCCGGGTAATCTCGTTTATGAAAATACTTTGATACTATACTACACTGAAATGTTTAAATGTTTCTTTGATTGTCTTTGAACCATCCCACCACACTTGCCATCCTCTCCAGCCCACACCCTTTGGAATCCCTGTCGTAGAGAGTAGCTCCTGATCTCTTCACCATATCAAGGTAATTTTAGGAGAACTTGTGGCTGTAGTTCATTAAGGTTCCACCCTTTAATTGATTAGATATGAATAGATTTGAACATCATAAAAAAACTTCAGTAGCCCCTATTTGGGCATCCTCTCCTCCACCACCATCACACCCCCCAAAAAAAACCCTGTGCTTGCACTAATGCAGATTGGGCGAATGGGACCTGTCAGGGAACTGACATCGGAGCTAGAGGCGGAGGGAAGGCTCTCAAATGATGCTGGAGAAGGGCCCAGCAGGGAGAGAGGCAGCTCCGCAGATGGGGAAGCAAATCAGCGCAACACCAGGGATAAAGGGGGGCAGATGGGGAATCGGCGAGAGGGCTCCAGGACTCTTCACCGGACACCAGCGGGGAGAGCACGAGTCCTCCGCTACCCACGCCCTCCCTGCGCAGAAGACTTCCGCGCAGAGAGAGTAGGAGGAGACTGGGTGTCAAACAACTTTTATGTTGGAAAAGATTTAAGAAACGCCCACTGACGGATTCTGCTAGCGACTGAGGCAGCCACGAAGTGAAGGGCTGCCCAGACTGAAAGGTTTAACAAGGCAACAAAGCCAGGAGAGGCGGCAACTTACGCACGAGCAACCCATACTCATTACAGGACCATAGCAGCTGACCTCACCCTTGCACAACAGGTTGCAGGGAAAATCCTCTCTACCAGACCTAGGCTCTGGCCATGATGTGGAACTATTATGGAGGAAGATTTCATGCATAAAGAGATAGATCTGTGCTACAATTGTTTCCCCTTTCCACAGGGCAGTGGGGGCCTTGCCACTACCTCCCCTCTCCCTTGCCATGGGATTACATTAAATGTGGGGTAAACAGGGCAAACCCAAAGAGGGCAAAAAGAGATGCCTTTTTGAGATACCAGTGTCAGCACTTAAAATGAAATAAACTCATTGGTTTGTTGTCAGAAGACAAGTCCAATTAAATACAGTGGTACCTCGGGTTAAGAACTTAATTCGTTCCAGAGCTCCGTTCTTAACCTGAAACTGTTCTTAACCTGAAGCACCACTTTAGCTAATAGGGCCTCCTGCTGCCGCCGCGCCGCCGGTGTTATGTACTGAAGTTCTCACCCTGGGCCAGCAGGGGGATACTGTAGATAGTTATGCAAATAAGGGATCGAAAGTGACGTTCAGTGATTGGATAGTTTTAGAAAATTGTTACAGTTACATTGTACTGGAGCTCTATATAAGCAGGCTGACTGAACCCTTCAGTTGAGTTCTGTCCTGGCCTGTGAATAAACAAGAGCTGTTTGAAGAATCGCTGTGTCGTCTGATATGTTCACCCACAACTTAACAGTCAGAGAACGATTTCTGTTCTTATCCTGAAGCAAAGTTCTTAACCTGAAGCACTATTTCTGGGTTAGCAGAGTCTGTAACCTGAAGCGTATGTAACCTGAAGCGTATGTAACCCGAGGTACCACTGTAGTTTTTTGTTTTTCTTTAGAGCAGCATACCAGATGCAACATACCTACTATAAGAAATGCGTAGCTCATGGTCCCAGCAACTGAAATTTGATCAATCAACCACAGCTTTGGGTTGCATCCCTGCGAACAGTTAGGCTGCTACAATCTCACTGAAGCCAACTGCACGCAGAATTGCAGATCTGGTTGATAAATCCATTGATTAAAACAGGCCAACGCTTACAGCTCTGCACTTTTTGTGCTGCAGCTGTTGCACACTGGGTACGTACAGCTGAGAGTGAGTCATCTTCAGAACATGTGCTTCAGCTGAAAGCGGATCTGCTTTCCCAGCATTATACTTGCACTGCATCAGTACTGTCCTATCTTCTCAGATCCAGGACCCACCTTCAAACCAAGCATGCATATGGGGACCCACTTCTTAAAGCTTGTATGTGATCTGCCAGAATGGTGGTCACTGTATTGCTTTTGTGACATGCCCCTCCCCTTAGGTCAGGCTATTATGACCCTGTAGTGCAGTGGTTCTCAAAGGAGGTAGCAAGGGAGGGTGGCAAATGTGACAGGAAGATTCAAGGACAAAGAAACATTTAAACATTTCAGTACAGTACAGTACAGTCATACCTCTTGTTACGTTTGCTTCAGCTTATGTTTTTTCAGGTTATGTCCTGCGGCGACCCAGAAGTACCGGAAAGGGTTACTTCCGGGTTTCGCCGCTTGCACATGCGCAGACACGCAAAATGACATCACACACATGCACAGAAGCAGCGAATCGCGATCCGCGCATGCGCAGACGCAGGTTGCGTTCCTTTCAGGTTGCGAACGGATCCCATTCGCAACCAGAGGTACCACTGTAAAGTATAGTATAGTACAGTATCATCGTAACATATCAAAATGCTTTTTTAAATTTGCAGAGTACTGATAGATAACTTTTCAAAATGAGAGCAAGAGCATTGAGTGATACTGAGGACTATCCCAATTGTGATCCACCACCGCTGTTCTGACAGAGTGCTGGAGGAAACTTGTTTATAATTATATTTTGAGAATGATTCATGTTCTTATGTAGCTGCATTTATTAATACTTCCTGGATGTCCCAGGATCATATTATAAAGTAGTTGTGTTCCATGCTATAAATCAAGCACTGCTGGGAGTTGTTTCTTGCTTTCCAGAGTATTGCCTTGCTTTTGCTCTTTGCTGTTCATAGCAAAGGCCTTTGGCTATCTACAATAAATCGATTGATTGATACTTGCAATTTGCGTGAGTTACCTGTTGAGCTGGAAGGCACTGGTCTTCCCTAGTCCCTCTAGCTTCTCCATGCCTTCCAGAACCTGTCCAGTTTCCATCATGTCTGGTGTAGGGGCCGGCGAGTCGCTGAAGGGCCCCAGGATGCTGACCGCAGAGGGAGATAGGTCCGTTAAGGGCTGATGGCTACCTTCCTGCTGCAGTCCGCTTTGCTGGCTGGAGTGGTGACGTCGCTTCTGGTTCCTGTCCCAGCTACAGAAAGCCAGGGGGTAGTGGGGAGAGAGAAGGCTGTTACCATCAGGAAAGGTGCGACCTAACCAGAGGATTGTGCATCCATGCCTTAATTTGTTTTCCTGGACCCAAATACCTTTCCTCCGACTGTAAGGAATATACAGTCCACCCGAAGTACAATGGGAATGTGAAATGTCCACTTGTACAGCTGACATAGAATACGGACTCCAAGTTGGAGTGGACCATTAGTTCTCTGCTCAAGCTTTCCACCACTTTGGATAATGATAGTACTGAAGGTGGGGTGAAAGCCATGTGTGCCTATTGGGCCTTTCCCCATATATTTCTCCCAATGCCAGTAGGGTTCCTCTCTGGGTCGCAACCTTTCCAGAGGCAACATCAACAAGGACTTGAACAAGGGCAGCTGCGACAGTTCCTTGTCCAGCGAAGCTCCCTTTGGAACACCTTTATCTTTTCGCAAATTATTTGTTTAATTAAAACTTGGCTGTCAGGGAGAGCTTTGTCTTACTAATGAATTGCTTTGTTTTTGAGTTACTATTTTGCAGGAGTGCTTTAAGTGCATAACAGATCTTTAGGTCTTGTGCAATGGATTAATGGGCTCTGCCATCCTAGCACAACCACTCTACTTTCAAAAAGGATCTGATTTGGGACTTGTCCCACGATTTCTAGGCACAGGTCTGCGAGGTTTTTCTTTCGTCCCACCGCTTTCCCCAGGAAAACCCACTGTTTACTGCTGAATCAGAACAAATGTCAACCCACAGAAAGCCAGATTGACGTCTGATCTGATTCGACAGTAAACAGCTGGGGCTCAGCAGCCATTCCTGATATTTTGAATCACTTTGAGTTTGTACTGAATTGTATTAATTGTTTGATGAATTTATTTGTGGGGGTTTTTTGCTTTGTGTTTGGATATGATTGCACTGATTGAAACGCTTACTCATTCTTTATGCTAATGTTATTGTTGTGAGCTGTTTTGAGATCAGCATTGTTGTGAGAAAAACAGGATGCAATTATCAAATCATATCCAAAGGATGCTGGTTTTTGCTCAAAAATGATGGCCAACCAGCCCAAGCCTACTGCTTTTTAGATGCAGTTTGCTTCCTCCTCCTCAGGTCTGCAGTGAAGGTGATCTTCAGCTTGGAACTAAAATTCAAGTATGAAAAGAAGATCTTTTCTTTTGTTTGTGAGTTCTAGACAAATAAAGATGGCAATTCAGAAGAATAGCTTTTAAAAGGTATTAAGTACAGATGTGGGTACCGGCACTTCAAAGAGCTGTGTTCTGCTTTTATAAGAAACTGGGGGGGGGGGGGGGGAATGAAATTTTCAAGATCAATACCTGTCAGAGAAATAATCCCTTCAATGGAACTTGAAATATGACAGGGGAGTAAACCAAGCCATCTACAACTTGATTTGGTGGTTTGGGAGGACAGAGGTGGTAATAAAAGTGATGATACAGTGGGTTCTTCATTTGAAGAATATGCCCAATTTCCTCTCAACTTCAACATTCACATGACAGATAGGCAATCTATCAAGCTGGTTCAGTCAGCACTCTAGTCTTTCCACCATACATTTTCCAAGTGAACTGCCTGCCCTATATGTTTGTAAAAACACCACATGTGTGTTTAACTGTGTCTCTATTCACCCTTCATCTTAGCATTTTTAAAATAGTTGCAAAACTTCCTCAGGGATAGGAGAGAGGAGTTATTGTGGTGACTTCACCGTCACTAGCCAATCAGCAGTGCCTATAGCTGGCTTTTGAAGCAAACTGACAGGATTAATTTACCCAAAAGCAAGTTTGTAGTGCATGTGGAGAGCATGCTTTCTAAATGGTCGCACAGCCCTACTAATGTTACACCAGTCTGCATTCTTAAGTAGCATGTTACAAAAGTATAACGGCGCAGCCTCAGCTATGCACAAAGTAGTAAGAAAAATGCCTAACTTAAAAGAAATGCCAACTGAAAAACAAGTCAATTAAAATGTTCAAATATAACATACCAATTCCTTAACTTAACATATAACTCTATAATGATGTGTGTGCGTTTTAATGCAGTTATAAAATGTTCGAACTACATGGTATTTAAAGCAAAATCTGATATAATTCGCTCCCAGTACACAAATCCCAACATCCAAATTGGTGCTGTACAAAACCTAAAGGAGTTAATGTGAAACTGAAAATGTCAGTTGCTTAAAAAGTTGCCAAGTGTATATCTTCTTCTGCACCTCACAGAATTGGATATTAGAAGAATCATCAAGAGTTGCTTCTGTTCATTAGGGTAGTGATGGCTAGTTGTGGCCTTTATGTGGAGTTTTATGCGGCCTTTATGTTGTACCAAGGTACAACACAGGCAAGGGAAAGAACAACGTTTTTAAAATGTCATAAACAAACTGAGAGAAGTAATTAAATTACATACTTTAGCAGCTGTCTTTCAGTTTTGTAAATAAATACATAAACCAGCATATTTTTTTTGCAGATCTATATTAGGGATGTATGTACTGACTAACATTGTTGTTGTTGTTTAGTCGTGTCCGCCTCTTCGTGACCCCCTGGACCAGAGCACGCCAGTCACTCCTGTCTTCCTATGCCTCCCATAGTTTGGTTAAACACATTTTAGCAGCTTCGAGAACACTGTCCCACCATCTCGTCCTCTGTTGTCCTCTTCTCCTTGTGCCCTCCATCTTTCCCAACATCAGGGTCTTTTCCAGGGAGTCTTCTTTTCTCATGAGGTGGCTAAAGTATTGGAGCCTCAGCTTCGGGATCTGTCCTTCCAGTGAGCACTCAGGGCTGATTTCCTTCAGAATGGATCGGTCTGATCTTCTTGCAGTCCGTGGGACTCTCAAGAGTCTCCCCCAGCACCAGAATTCAAAAGCATCAATTCTTTGGCGATCAGCCTTCTTTATGGTCCAGCTCTCACTTCCATACATCACTACTGGGAAAACCAGAGCTTTAACTATACGGACCTTTGTCGGCAAGGTGATGTCTCTGCTTTTTAAGATGCTGACTAACGTAGGAATACTAGATGGTGTTTACTTTATTTATGGAGCTTGACCACTTGTAAAAGGGTCAGTTTGTGCAAAAAAATATATTCCCAGCTCCCAAACTAATGTTTGGAGAGTAGAGAATCTCCAAGAACACCAACATTGGCTTTCCATTCAATATTAAGCCATTTGGATGTGTTGTCCTCAATTACAACATATCCCTGGTGCCTCTCCTCACCTCCTGTGAGTTGCGATCCTATGGCATTAACCTTTGCAGCTACCTAAAATCTACTCACCAGAATTTGAGTATTATCCCCATAGCAACAAGGACAATAATGACAGAGATCGTAATGGTGACATACAGCTGAGGGTCCACACCTGGAACAGACAGAGACGGGAAGTGTCAGTAAGTAAGGTATGCAGCTCCTGACCATTTTGCGGGGACAGGGCAGTCCATGCCACCACACCACCCCTGAGATTTTCACTTTTTTCCTGGCTGCCCTCCTGTGTGCTTTTTTAAAGTAGCACTCTTGCAGGTGGAGCTCACAGCTGCAGCATTGAGAAAAGCTTCACCTGTAGGATTCCAGCTTGCCACTCAAGCGATTAAAGGTACACAGGAGCCCGGTCAGGGGAAAAAGTTGGCAACATGTTGCTGGAGATATAATAAGGAAAATGGTTCTTTGAAACAAATGTTTTTGCGGTGTCCGATGCTTACAAGCTTTTGGAGAAAAGTTTTAAAATGTATTCTACTTAAAGTTAAAGGGACCCCTGACCATTAGGTCCAGTCGTGACCGACTCTGGGGTTGCGGCACTCATCTCGCTTTATTGGCTGAGGGAGCCAGCGTACAGCTTTCGGGTCATGTGGCCAGTATGACTAAGCCTCTTCTGGCGAACTAGAGCAGCGCACGGAAACGCCGTTTACCTTCCCGCTGGAGTGGTAGCTATTTATCTAATTGCACTTTGATGTGCTTTCAAACTGCTAGGTGGGCAGGAGCAGGGACCGAGCAACAGGAACTCACCCCGTCACGGGGATTCGAACCGCCGACCATCTGATCGGCAAGTCCTAGGCTCTGTGGTTTAACCCACAGTGCCACCCGCGTCCCTGTATTCTACTTAGGGCGGGGGGTTAAAACTGTCAGATGATAATATTACGCTAAACCACATACCAATGATATGGGGTTTGACGGCTGGTCAATGCAGATGGATGCTTCACACCATTACTGCTGCCAAAAGACTGATATTGATTCACAGGAATCAATATCAATAGAGCCAGTGTGGCGCAATGGTTAAGAGCGATAGACTCGTAATCTGGGGAACCGGGTTTGCTTCCCCGCTCCTCCACATGCAGCTGCTGGGTGACCTTGGGCCAGTCACACTTCTTTGAAGTCTCTCAGCCCCACTCACCTCACAGAGTGTTTGTTGTGGGAGAGGAAGCGAAAGGAGATTGTTAGCCGCTTTGAGACTCCTTCGGGTAGTGATAAAGCGGGATATCAAATCCAAAAACAGGAAAGATAATACTATGCCCCCCTTTGATCAATGGATAGAAGATATGACAACTCTTGCAACACATGAATGGATCGCTTTTAGACGCAGATTGCGCATGGATAAATATAATGGTACTTGGAATGCATTGATAAAAATTAGACCAACTTGTTACTAATTGTATACTTGTTGGAATAACAGCGTTACTTATATAGCTCTACATTGCATTGCATTACAGCAGAGGTCCCCAAACTTGGGTTTCCCACTGCATTTGAACTACAACTCCCATCATCCCTCGCTAGAAGGACCAGTGGTCAGAGATGATGGAAACTGTAGTCCCAAAACAGCTGGAAACCCACTGTATTACAGTTTTGAACACCCTTTTCTTTATTTTCTCATTACTTTCTCTTTATTGGTCCACTGGAAAAAAGAAATCAATAAACTCTAAATAATAATGGGAAAAGGGAAAAAAAAGTTGGCAACACCAGAAGGAATCGAGAGACGTTGAGTGTTACCTTCTCCCCGTGGCCCGAAAAGGAAGGGCCGTAGGGTGGCTGGGGTTTGGCGCAGGTTGAGCCCTTCGTTGTGTAGCAGGGAGTGGGAGTTGGGTTGCGCTGTTGCCATTCCGCTTGACGAAACGAAGGTGTAACCCAGAGGTGGGAAGCCAGGGTTGGCAGAGTTGGCGTCGCCTCCATCCTCAACGGATATTGTGGGGCCCCAGACGATGGCCCAGGGGTACTGGGAGGAAGACAGGCCATCCTCGAAGCCAGACGGAGTGGCAGGCCGGGCTCCCTGAGCCTGGCGCCTCAGGCGCACTGAGCTGCGCAGCCCAGCCCCTTTGGGAACCACAGACCGATGGCGCTGTGAGGTAGAGCGGGACCCTTTCTCCGGGGCGGGGTTCTTGTCCCAGATGCAAACGGACCGAGGGGAGGAAGGGCCGCGGTGGCTGCAGAGGGGCCGCGCCGCCAGAAGGCCCCGGGTGCGCAGAGACCAGGCGCTGTGGGATGGAAGTGCTGTGGCGAGAAGTAAGAAAGGCCAGAGCTGCAGCAGGTGGAAGCAGGAGACCAGAGGGAGCATCACGCTGCGGAAGGGGAGAAAGAGAGATGCACGTCGCTAAGCTGGAGACTCCCTGTCTGTGGGGCTCGCTGGCTGTGTTGTCAGGCCCTGGGGTTTTGGTTCCCATGAAGTGTGGCAGGTGGAGATCGCAGTCAGCTTTGAACTTTTGCAAAAGCCCAGCTGAAGCCAATGATCTGTGCAAGTGTCCAACAGCGCTCCTGCCAGCTCCTGTTCATTTAATGGGACTTGCATGGGATAACTAACAGACTGTAACCCTTGGTTACCAGATTTTTTTCAATGAATCCGGGGACACTTTTTTTTTTTTTTGAAGCTGAGTAGCAACAGGGAGTCAGTAGTGGGGATGGTGAGGCAAACGACCCTGGACCCAAGCACACATGCATATTGTATAAAGGTGCAAAGCCCTTCTTTCACACCCTGTGAAACATAAATGCACAGTTTTTAAAAAACTGGGCAATGGCACGCCACCTGCCCGTGACACCCGAGCCTTCCCTGATCTCCTTCCCCCTTTGTTTTCACAGATCAGGGGAGGCTCGGGAGTCACGGGCGGGCGGCTGTTGCCCAGGAGGGGCCAGCCTGGTAGTGCAGTTGGCTCTGGCTGGCTTCAGGAGATGCTCGCTGCCGTGGCACAGGAAAAATGGCGGGCGCCATGGCACCGAGCAGCGCTAACAGGCTGGCTCCGGGCTGCTGAGGCTGCTGCTGCCACATTTTGCAGGGACAGATTTGCAAATCTGGGGACATTCCGGGGATGGAATTTGTCCGGGGACAGATTTGCAAATCCAGGGACTGTCCCTGGGAACTGGGGACGTCTGGTAACCCTACTGTAACTCATGTTAATTTGCTAAGCCTGAAGATGGAGCTTTCTCATGCAGCCTGTTTTAAGCGCCACCTCCAACGACCTCTTTGTCCAGGAGTATCTGCAACTGTTTCTGTGTACACACCATAGATTTAAAGGGCATGGCTTCCCCCAAAGAATCTTGAGAACCGTCACACCTCTCAGAGCTGCAATTCCCAGCAGCTATCACAAACCACAGTTCCCAGGATTCTTTGGGGCAAGCCACACACTTTAAAGGTGTGGTGTGTAAGCAGCCCAGCCTGAAACTGTGGGGGTTTTTATGCACACATCATGCATATCCCTCACTCCCATTTTGCAGGGATGCCCAATTTTCTTCATGCCTCTCATTGGGTGCTGGGCCCTGGAGACCCAACAGCCACATTCAGACAATTGTCCATGGCTTCACAAACGATGATTTATGAAGCCATGTGCAGGTGCCATAGCTGCACACTTCCTTTTCACCTGTCACAGCTCCAACCCTAATGCATCAACTAGCTCACTCCCTTCCTATTGTCAGTACAATCCTTTGGCTTGTGTCTCCCCAAAGCACCAGCTCTTTCACTCCTTTTCTGGGCACCCTGTGTGAGGTCAAAAACTGGCACCTCCAAATCATAGCTGTCAACTTACAGATTTGTAAATAAGGGACCAGCAGCCTCAAAAATAAGGGATCAGCAGCCAAAATAAGGGATTTTCCAGGCACAGGTATGTTCAACTTCTGAGCCCCTCCAAGCCAAAGGCAGAAAGCCCAGCCAGCAGCCAAACAAAGCCTCAAGCGGTGGTTCCCACAGCTCAGCAACCCAGCAAAGGGGATGCAGCAAGGAAAACCACCGTCACCTCTCCGCTGGGAAGCGCTGAGCAAAGGCGAGTCCCCAGGCAACGCGGCCGATTTGATTGGCACAAGGCATGCAAGCTCCACCCCCTGAGTCATTCTTAGACTCCTTATTGGGTGAGCAACGCAGCCAAGCAACACAGTTGGAGCCTCCCTCCTCCCTGGCTGGCAGGGAGGGAGAGGAGCTGCTTCCTTTGAAACCTGGGAAATTTAAGGGACATCATCAATAAGGGACAGCAGCGGGACACGGCGCTGGGATAAGGGAGTTTCCCGCCAAATAAGGGACAGTTGACAGCTATGCTCCAAATGGATCTTCTCTATTTTGCACCCCCTCAGCTCAGTGACTTGTGGGGAGGAACTGTCCACACCACTGTAAATCCAGTGCTTTGGCTATTACCATTACTAGGTATGTATCAAGTACGATTTGTTGCTGGTAGTGCACTAGCAATGCTTCCTTCTTCAAAGTACTGCCCTAGACACACACACACTTAAGTGCCACAGCCTGGCCCTGGCCCTGGCCCATTTCCATCACGCTTTATAAAAGAAGAGTTACAAACCTACCAGGTGCTGGTCTCCATATCTAGAGGCGACTGTTTCTCCACTCAGCGGTAAATCTGCCTCATATTCTTCACTAAAACCAGGAATGAAAAAAAAAGGAATGTCAGTTGAATGTTCGCTAAAGCGTTCCTAAATCCCTTCAGCGCAGCTGATGCACGGCTGCCTAGTGACCACCAACTTTCACTACATTCCATCAAGTCCCTTCAACCCTTATAAACATGCCATGTATTATGAACATAAGCAGAAGACAGACTGACATGGAGAGAAAACATGTCCCTGGCTTATCATTGCACACGCACATTTCCTGCCCTCCCCCTGCACTCGCGGCAGAACATTAAGCATACACGCACATAAATGTGAGCCTCACAGCCTAGAACACACGTGCTGCTGTTCTTCCGAAGGCTGGGGGCTGGGGGGGGGATTTGTGCCTCTGATTTCTTATCACTTAAACAAGTTAAGAGAATCTTAATTCCTGCATTTATTTATAGCACCGAGCATGTAATCCATTTAATATAAAGAGCTACTTTAATTGTGCGTGGAGGCAAGGAAAAGAATAGGAATAAAATTAGAATGATAAACACAGGAGATAGCGAACGGGAATGAATCAGGGAGAAAACGCCAGCCTGCTTAAGGACTGAGAGAGGAAAAATATGTCCATAAAATATTTAGTGTTTACTTTCCGGAGGGCTAAAATGGCTTTCCCTTTTGCCCTTTTAATCACTGCCCACACTCTCTCCCTCTCTCTTTCTCACACACAATTTTTTGTGATACAAATTATGGCTGTATAGCTTTTAAAAATGGCAAACTGGGATACGGCTATTGTATGTTTGCACTTATATCTGGCCAGTTATACAACCTAAAGGTAAAGGTAAAGGGACCCCTGACCATTAGGTCCAGTCGTGACCGACTCTGGGGTTGCGGCGCTCATCTTGCTTTATTGGCCAAGGGAGCCGGCGTACAGCTTCCAGGTCATGTGGCCAGCATGACTAAGCCGCTTCTGGCAAACCAGAGCAGCACACGGAAACGCCGTTTACCTTCCTGCCAGAGTGGTACCTATTTATCTACTTGTACTTTGACATGCTTTCGAACTGCTAGGTTGGCAGGAGCAGGGACCAAACAACGGGAGCTCACCCCGTTGCGGGGATTTGAACCGCCAACCTTCTGATCGGAAAGTCCTAGGCTCTGTGTTTAACCCACAGCGCCACCCGCGTCCCGTTATACAACCTAGCTTGCTACTATTTCCCCAAACTCCGGTCTCCCATTGTGGGTGCAGAGTTCAAAAGATGATCCAGCCTGTAAGCCCTGGAGATGCCCCAGGTACAACTCATCTGCAGATACAGAGAAGCTGGGTGCTGTAAGCAAGTCGTTTCAAGGACTGGAGATAATATCTTTACGAGAAACATCCCCTCCCAGGGGAGCCCAATAAAACCCAAGGCTCTGTGCTTGACAATGGTGTGGCTGACACAAGTCCTTCAGCAAACAAACTTAGAAGGGAAAATCAATATGCTAATGTTTTGCTGACTTGTTCGCTAGAGCTGTCAGACAGACCTCGAGTTCTAGGGTAAGCAAGGAAGACAGCTAAGAGAGTCCCCCACCCCCATTGTGTGTTTGTGTGCCTACAAAGTCTGGGTGAAAGGAAGAAGGGGAACTGAACGGACAGATAAAAAGTGACTAGAACAGATGGCCATATATTCACACGATTACAAGATGCAGAGACTACATTTCTGTCTTGAAAAGTAAAATTCACTTCTCACTTTGTATCCTGGCGAATCTGATGTGCATTTTTACTACTTGCTAAATAGCTCTTTTATTGCAGCCTTATTACTTTAATCTCTTGAACATGTTCTCATAGAATATGATTCAGTTGTGATTAGACACTTATATTATGTTTAAATTCAGACTCATTTGAAACCCTGCGGAAAGCCGCTGGGGGCAGGGAGGGAGCGGGAAGAAGATGGAAGCGGAGTTTCCTGTTTAAAAAAGGGTTGTTGGGGTAATAAGAGTGCTGCTTTGTCTGAGCAGATTCTTTGGGGCCTGGAGAGAGGAGGGAAGAGGGAGCGTAGGTAATAATGGCAATGTGGGGGAGTCGGTTAATCATAAAAGCAGAAAGGAGAGTCATAGATTCGTTAACAATTCGATTCCTAGCGCAGGTGATGATCTAGTAGGAGGAGGAGGAATAAAAAGGGGAACAAGGATACAACCATTTCAGCACTACATTTTTGGAGGGGGGAGTGATTTAATTTAAAGCATTGTGAAGTGAAAGCTGGACCATAAAGAAGGCTGATCACCGAAGAATTGATGCTTTTGAATTCTGGTGCTGGAGGAGACTCTTGAGAGTCCCATGGACTGCAAGAAGATCAAACCTCTCCATTCTGAAGGAAATCAGCCCTGAGTGCTCACTGGAAGGACAGATCGTGAAGCTGAGGCTCCAAGACTTTGGCCACCTCATGAGAAGAGAATACTCCCTGGAAAAGACCCTGATGTTGGGAAAGATGGAGGGCACAAGGAGAAGGGGACGACAGAGGACGAGATGGCTGGATAGTGTTCTCGAAGCTACCAGCATGAGTTTGACCAAACTGCGGGAGGCAGTGGAAGACAGGAGGGCCTGGCGTGCTCTGGTCCAGGGGGTCACGAAGAGTCGGACACGACTAAACAACTAAACAACAACAGTATTTTTCCATTAACGCTTTTTGCCATCACAGACTGAGCTGCTTGGAAGGCTGAGGTCTACCTGCTCCTCAGATCCTTGACCTTCCTGGTTTCTGAAACTGCACAGAATTGAGCTTTCGATCTGGACTTCAGAAGTGACTAGCGCCTCTTTGAGAGAGGCTGTGACCCATCCTGCCCCAAGAGAAGGTGGTGGTTCAACCTCTGTTGGGGTGGGGAAGCCAGTTTGGACCTTACTATTTTGGGTCCTTTTCAGCTGCAAGTTCTCTAGAAGATGTTGCAGTGAGCAACACAGCCTTGCCTTCCAAGTCACACTAAGCCAAACCACAGCTTTGTGTAAACGCGAGTATGTGGATTCCTGGGGAGATCTCTGCCACTCCTCTCTAGTCATTTTGCTGCTGAGCCACCCAATCTCTGGACTATCCATGAGGTGCAACTAAGGTTTGTTCCTGGTTTACAACCCATAGTTTGTTTGGGAGAGCTAAACGGCGAGTTTGGGATAGTGTGAATCCGCCGCTGTGCCCTCGGCCTGCCATGACTTAGCATGGTGTATGAATCAGAACAGGCCTCTTCTTCAAAAGAGATGTATAAAAGCTGCACATTTATGAGTGATGTGTTGTTGCTGCTTGCATCTCCTCCCCCTGCCCATGTAGCTTTATAATGCATTATGAATTTTCCTCCTCTCATTCCCTACCCCATGGAGCAGCAGCCAGTGAAGTGGATCAGCCGTAGCTGGGAAACTTTCAGTGGAACAGCAACACATCACATGCCTTGCATTATTAAATGTTACAGGGTGAGCAGAGGAGCAGACATAGCAGCTGAAACACCCAGTTCCATCCTAATATATTCCTGCTTTCTATATTCAACTTGTCATAAGCATTAGACGTAATGCATGTGATTACAGAAATAATGTATGTGATAAGCATTGCAGAAAGAATGTCTGTAATGTTATTACAGTGGGGAACTTGTAGTCAAAGTAAACTAGCAGGCATAGGGATAGTTAATGCATGAAGGGGTTAAAGACCACAAAGTTGTAATGCTAGACTCAGTTAGGTCACACTCCCTCATCTCCAATGAGGGAGGAAAGAAATATTCTTTCATCACTCTTCTTCACACCATGTAACTGACCAGGAAGAAAGTGTCTGAGCTTGCCTGCTTGAAACCATCTTTTGGTACTTTGTACCCAAGGGAATTCTACCTGTGTTCTCCTTGCTGCTGCATGGAATAGCACATGACTCATACTTTAGGATTTTGTAAGTAAAGCTTTGAAGAGTGTGGTTTGTTCATTGCAAGAGGAGCAGAAATGGGGAAAGCACTGTAAGCAAAGTAAACAGAATATATAAAAAGGTCTAACAGCCTGTTATACCCACACTATACTGCTGCTTGACCTTGTGACTGTTTTAAACTCTGCTGGGGTCTTTTTCCCACCGGAGAGTGTGTTATGCCCTGCATTTTGAATCCAGGAGTCCAGCTGATTCTTTTATTAATTACCGACACGTGGGTCATAGATCTATTTCCCTCTTGTTTGGTTAATATGGCACCCTTAGTGTCTGGCATTTTAGAGCATACAAGAGGGCAGGTTCCTATCGCAAGGGGCTTACAGCCCAAACATGTGCTTTGAACCCCTGAAATGTGGTACATAAATGACGGTTATTCAAAGCATAAAACGCCCCCTCAGAAGCCATTTGAGGCCCTTTCTCCAAGAATGCAGATTCTGAATCCTCTCTGGGCAGTTATTTTCCATCGCTTGAATTCAGGCAGCCTTTCCCCCATGCTTAGCCGAAAGCTACCTGCCTCTCGCATAAACTCATTACATCACTGAACAGGGTGAACATTTGCTCCCCATCTTCTTTCTAAAATTCTCTTAAATATTTAAATACCCCTTCTTAATCTTCTTTTCTCCAGGCAAGCCACACCAGGAGCTTTTGGCCCACCCTCATAAGACTTGCCTTCAGATCTTTTTTATCCTCTCCATAGCTCACTTCTGAATTCTTTCTTCTTTCCCCTGCGGCATCTATCTTCATCATGTCCAAAAACCAACTTCAGGCTCTCATTATATTTAGGACAGGATACATTCTGGAAAGCCTTTTTTTTAAAAAGGATTTTATTTTCCACGTTGCACTAATTCTAGTACCGTGCGTCAGTTGTGTGAGTTGCTGTACCTGCATGTGCATTGGAGGGGGCAAGGGATGGGAAGGAACACTGTGTGTGTGTGTGTGTGTGTGTGTGTGTGAGAGAGAGAGAGAGAGAGAGAGAGAGAGAGAGAGAGAGAGAGGAGCCCCAGCTGCAGGGGATAGTCCATTACTGCTGTTAAAAAATCATGAGAGATTTGTGCTTCTTCATTGAGAGAGGGGAACAGACAACCTTCAGAAAGGGGGGGGGAGCTAAGGGAATGACTCATCTCTCACATGTGCAGAACTGTACATAGGCAAGGGGGTCCTTGCCCTGCTAGCCTCTGCCACCCCCCTAGTGACACATACAGCTGGGGGTATAAGCAGAGTGCTGTGTGTGCCCATGTAATGAAGTGCCCTAAATGAACGAGCCCTATATAAAAAGGTGATTCGTGGATGTGGGGGGTGGCATTTTACAAAATGGAAGATCAGGGCATTGCTGTTGACATCTTATTTCTGAAAGGATACACAAGCACTTGCCAGTTTAAGTGGCATAGAAAGGGAAGTGCTTGCCTCTACAGGAGTAAAAGCGACATTTAAAATAAAAAAATTAAGAGCCCAGGCACAGGGGAGGGCTAGGGCAGTGTTATTCGCAATCAGTGACAACACAGGCACCACCTATAGCATTCACAGAGTCATATGCCACAAATTATTTATGTTGTGTTGAACACTATTGCGATCTTCGAAGCAAATTTGAAGCATGTTTCCACCAGCTTCAGAGAATTCTGGGGACTGTAGTTTGTTAAGGGTTATTGGGGATTGTAGGTACGGTGCCCAGAATTATTTGGAGAGGAAAGTGTACAGTGGTACCTTGGGTTACATACGCTTCAGGTTACAGACTCCACTAACCGAGAAATAGTACCTCGGGTTAAGAACTTTGCTTCAGGATGAGAACAGAAATCATGCTCTGGCGGCGCAGCGGCACCAGGAGGCCCCATTAGCTAAAGTGGTGCTTCAGGTTAAGAACAGTTTCAGGTTAAAAACAGACCTCTGGAATGAATCAAGTACTTAACCCGAGGTACCATGTACTTCGAATGTGCTTTAAAGGTGCAGTGTCAAACTGTAATAAACACATCAACTGGGGCAAGAATCATATTGATGTACATGGCACTTTGTAGCTCAAGTGCTCGTGTGTGTGTGTGTGTGTGTGTGCGCACACACACACTACACACCACACAGCTTGCCCCAAAGCACTTACAACTAATGGTCCACTTCCAGTCACATATTAGTATTGCCCCACCATCGCCAAATTGGGAAGCTCAGTTGGTAGAACATGAGACTCTTAACGTCTGGGCCACGGGTTCGAGCCCCATGTTGGGCAGAAAGTTCCTGCATTGCAGGGGGTTGAACTAGATGACCCTCGTGGTTCCTTTTCCAACTCTACAATTCTATGATTCCATTCCTGTCTGCGTCAAAAGATGCAGCCACCGTCCGCACAGGAATCTCCCTCTTTCTCTCTCTCTCTCTCGTATCAGTAAGTGGGGAGAGAAAAGGTTAGGAAGAAGAGCAAGGCAAACCTAAGAAAAGGACTGGGAGAAGGTGTGCTTACTCACACGTAGACTGGATGCATATGCACCTTACATTTAAAGCACATTTAACACCCCCCCCCCCAAGAATCCTGGGAATTCTAGCTTGTTAAGTGTGCTGGGAATTGTAGCTCCGTGAGGGATAAACTATATTCCCCAGGAGTCTTGCAGGTGTGTGCTTCAAAAATATGGTGTGTGTGTGCAGCTCTTATCTATGTTAAAGGGGGGATGAAGGCTGGATAGGGAGGGGCGGTTAGGAAAAATGTGAGCTTTGAGATGGAATTTAGAGGAAGGAATAAAACGTATTACCTTATGCTGATTGTGATGAATTACTCTGCATCCACTTTCGATGATTTAATAGTTTCTTCTCCACATATAGTGGAAAATTGAGGGGCGTTCTTTAGAAGAAAACTCACATTTAATTAAAATGTTGCTTTTAAGCTAGATTCACTTTTCTGATACCGTCTAGGGCAGCTGGGACACCTGTTATTAAAGCAGAAACCTCGCTCTGCCATTCTGTAATTGATTCTGCCAGAAGCTTCCAGCAAAACCCGAAGTTTTCTTGGCCACTTCCCTCAATTCTACTTCTCCCTCACACATTTGGCTGCTAGGCCTTGAATCGTCGTCTAACAGCAGTTCTTCAAGACCTTATTCTCACGATTCATGTTCGCTGTGGCATCAAAACCTGGCTTGCCTCCTCCACGGATGTTTTGAAACACCTCACAACCTGCCTCAAACACAAAGCTTTTTCAACCATTTCCAGCTATGACTGATTGTTTAATAATCAGATGGTGTACATTAGGTTACGCACTACCTGGCTCACATTTTCTTTTCCAGCGTCTTTTATCACCCTGCTAGGTAAACCCAGTATTGTTTGCCACACACTGTCTTCTACCCTAATGGCAGACACTCCCCTCACCTCACGACTTTCCCCAAGCGCAATATACTAGACCGCTGTTGCTTGCAGTTGCTGATCCCAGTCCTCCTCTGCCGCATGTGTGTTTGGTGCTTCTGTCACAGAGGCTTAGCTCACCAAAAACAGCAGATCATGGAAATGACCTCAAACGTCATCTAGCCCAACCCATCTATTCATGGCTACAGCATTCTTTTTTTGCAACCCCACCACTTCACAAGCAAGTGGCTGCATTGCTTCAGGCTTCAGGTGGGAGATCACTCTTTCTCAACAGGTAAATCAGGTGGTCAGGTAAAGGTAAAGGTAAAGGGACCCCTGACCATTAGGTCCAGTCGTGGCCGACTCTGGGGTTGTGGCGCTCATCTCACTTTACTGGCCGAGAGAGCCGGTGTACAGCTTCTGGGTCATGTGGCCAGCATGACTAACCCGCTTCTGGCAAACCAGAGCAGTGCACGGAAATGCCGTTTACCTTCCCGCCAGAGTGGTACCTATTTATCTACTTGCACTTTGACGTGCTTTCAAACTGCTAGGTGGGCAGGAGCAGGGACCGAGCAACGGGAGCTCACGTATTGTCAAAAAAGTGGGCGTGCACTACCAAAAGAAAAGAGGGGAGAACATTAAGAAAAACACATGGTTTTAAAAAAATATACAGGAGCAAATTCAGAAATTGCTGCGATTACAATAGAAATACAATACATCTCACCAAAGTGGGGAAGACATCAGGGGACTTGTGTGCCTGCTAAATCTGACGTCCACGTACTCATGACTGTTGAGGGGCAACTTCAAGGCTTCGTGCTCTCCCTTTTTATGTTTCTTATCTTTAAGCCAGACTTGGACTGGGCAGTTGTCAAATAGAGGACACCTTCAAACAGAGAACTGACTTCTGAGAGCCTTTCAAAACAGAGGAGTGTCCTTTGTAAAGCAGGACACATTGGCACCCTATAGGTAGGCAAGCAGATAGACAGATATACGGTATGTTCCCTCTCTCTTTTCCAAATGAGTGTCAGGTGGTGCAGTGAGCAGAAAGCAGTAAAAGGAAGGAGCACAAACCTCATGGTTAATGCATTGTAGGGACATTTGTATGCCATTTCTTACTAAATATTTAAACACTTCACATACATTATCACGTTGTAACCACTGCAATTCCTGAAGTTTATTTTCAATTGACGCCACCCTATGACCTGGTTCACATGCAACGCTAAGCCAAACCATGGCTGTGTGTGAATGAGCAGTCGTGCAAGCTTCTGGAGGGAAGATGGTGGCTGCTTTGTTTCTGAAACTGGTGAAACTGATGTTTTATCTCCCCTAGTCAGGGAAACCAAAAGGTAGTGAGCCACTGAACAAACCTTGGCTACAGGTTGTGGTTTGCCTGGAGTGAGATAAACCACAGACTTCGGTTTAGACATAACGCCAAGCCAAACCATGGCTTAGCTCACAGCAGCGCAACACCAGCAGGACTGGAGGAGAAGCAAAGTTATGGTTTGGCTTAGCGTTACGTGTGAACTGAGCCTATATCTTACTTCAGCTTTTCTTTTCAGTCTACAGCAAACTTGCGCTCTAGCTAGGCCTACTGTATATTTCATAGGGCCGGCCCACCCATGAGGCAAGGTGAGACAACTGCCTCAGGCAGCAAGATCCACCAAGACAGTAAATCCCAGTGTTGATCTTTCTTCCCCCCACTTTTTCCCTGATGATCTTCCCTCACCACTTCTTCCCTGGTGGGAAGAGAGGTGCCATTCTAGGGTCTGTCTCAGGTGCAACCATGTCTTGAGCAAGCCCTGGCATTTCATACCTCTTTTTCTTTTAAAATTCCAACTATTGATTTAAATGTCAAGCTGGCACGTGCCTTTTCTTCTTCTACTTCCCTTTGGAAGCTTTTAAGGCTGCCATCACCAATTAACTCTAAGCCATGCTTTTGGTTCTACAGTTTAACCTCCCTCTCTTTCGCTGGCTCCTTGTGTCTCATTGGCCCTAAATAATTTGAATGCATATAGTATCTGCTGTAGTTTGTCAGTTTTTATGGCTCAGAAGTTCTCCTTTATGTATGTTATTCATCTTTTCTCCACTAATAAGGTGGCCGAATGTCCTGCTTTCCTGAGGACTTTTTTCTATTTCCAGTTTAAAGATTAATCGTCATTACAAGGGGAGCAGGGCCTTGAAGTTGCACCTGGGCCGCAGACTAAGGCGGCTCATAGCAGGTCACCTATGCAGTTTTTCCCACTATGGGGAGCTGTAGTGCATCTCTATTTAAATTATAGAAAATTGTTTCTAAATTTACTTCTAGCCATATAAATTAGCAACCAGGCTCATAGCAGGTCACCTAGTCAAAGTTTTTCCCACCATGGGGAGCTGTAGTGCATCTCTATTTAAATTATAGAAAATTGTTTCTAAATTTACTTCTAGCCATATAAATTAGCACATGCAAATTTTATGCAAATCGGTGCCTTCTTTTTTAGTGATGCATAACTGACCACCCTGCTTGCTAAGCGCATTTACTGACCTAAGGAAATTGGTTTTCCCCTTACTTCAAGATCCTAAGTTCTACACCATTAAATTGGATATAAACTGTACACACATTTTCCCTTCACCCTTTTCTGGTCCTTGCTAAACATGCTCGCTTTCTTCATTTTCCCCGCATTTTTCTTGCACAACACATCCCTGATCCTCTTTGCTGCTCTCCTGTGAACTTTGTGTGGTTTGTTGATGTTTATTTTAAAAGGTAGAATTGGATGTTTCTCCCTACTCAGATCTATGTGTAGTGTTAAAATTCCTACTTATACCATTTAAAAATGTGTTAAGTCTTTAAGGTATCACAGGACTCTTTGTTGTTTCCATAAAATGTGTGCATCTTTTCATATTTTTCTCACTTTGCAAAATTTATTCTACATCTCCTAATTGTCGTGGGGAAGGGCAAAGAGGTCTGGGGAGCTAATTGAAATCAAATTCCAATGACCCTTAGAAATTTCATTCAGCCATCTTTTTGGGCATCTGATATTTCCTTCATCGTTTCGCGCACACCTGCAGGCTTGTCTTCATAGCCATAAGGAACCTGAGGTCTGTGCAGAATATCAGTCTCATGCAGAACTGTGAAATGCACACAGCCAGTCTCTGGTGAAGTGGTATTGTCCCCTTTCTAAAAAACAAACAGGTGACCACAATATTGATGAAAATATTGAAGATGGCCTAGGGCAATCGCTGCCACAAGCTTCACTCATTGCTTCATCTTCCCACGCTATCAGTGAGTCAACTGTTCTTTACAGGTTATGAGCTATCAGCCAACTGCCTAGATTTATCAAGCTTTATAATATCATGTGAAACTACCTGAAAGGCTTTTTAAAGGTGCTCATTAAATCCACGGTGGGCTACAGGCTTAACACAGGCAGTCATCCCAAAGCCTGCCTCAGATACCAACATGTCATAGCTTCCTGTGCCACAGATGCTACTGCACTAAGAGGTACCAATGTGATGATATAACCACCTCTGACTAGGATTCTTCAGAAGCCGAGAGAAACACTTCACCGAAGCAGGAGACCTAGATTTATGGCTCTCACAGCGCAGCAAGAACGAGCCAGAACTGGAGAGTCTTGAACTGCTTCTAAACTAGCAGTTTTTGGTCTCAACTAGCAACCATGTTCTGCCCACACTATTGGGTGTGATATAGAAGCCCATGGGCAAGTGGCAATACATCTAAGCCATCTTAGCAGCAGCATGTTTATTTTCAAATCAATTTTAAATTTTGCATTCAAGCAGTCCTTCATTTACATGCTACTGCATAAATATTTTAAAAATGTTTACTTAAAATATAGACTAAAAAGTATTTTGAGTGCAACTTAAATGATTTATTTATTTTTTAAACCAACTCTCTAAAATGGTCTGAATGGAAAGCCAACATGCTTATTTTTTTATAAAAAATGTCTACATTCATGCTAAAATGATTTTCCTTTTAAGCGCCATTGATTTTTTAAAAATGTAAGCGAAAAAAATGCTTATGTGCAAATTGAAAGAGTATAAAAAAGTAAATCCGATGCTAAATGGAGCTAACCATGTGCTATACTTTCTTTCTTTCTTTCTTTGACCTTTAAAAAGAGATGGGAGACTTAGGGTGGTGTTGGAAAACAGCAGTTCCATTATGATGTCATATAAAGATAAAGGTACCCCTGACCATTAGGTCCAGTGGTGACCGACTCTGGGGTTGCGGCGCTCATCTCGCTTTATTGGCCGAGGGAGCCGGCGTACAGCTTCCGGGTCATGTGGCCAGCATGACTGAGCCGCTTCTGGCAAACCAGAGCAGCGCATGGAAATGATGTTTACCTTCCTGCCGGAGCGGTACCTATTTATCAACTTGAACTGGTGTGCTTTCTAACTGCTAGGTTGGCAGGAGCAAGGACTGAGCAACGGGAGCTCACCCCATCACAGGGATTCGAACTGCCGACCTTCTGATCACCAAGCCCTAGGCTCTGTGGTTTAACCCACAGCGCCACCCGTGTCCCTATGATGTCATATAGATGCCTCATAAAAAGTGAGTGAACCAAGTGTGGCAATTCCACAGTAAATAGCTAGTGTTGAACCAGTCAATGAACCTGACGCGTCCAGAGTCCAATGTCTCCTTACAACAACACCCTTGTTTGAAGCCTTTAAAATGAGGTGTGGATGTGAATTTGAGGCTTACTCCTGTCCTTTCCCTTTCCTTATTAAACATAAAACAAAACAGTAGTGACACAATGTCAAGGACACTATGTGGAAAGCCTAAATGACTGTTTCAAAGCAAACTGAGTAAGATCTGCCTAGGGGTAGTGGATGTAGTATTGGAGATCAGATAAGAAACTCGCATTTCCCTTTCTAAATCCTCCCATTGAGACTTTTGAAGTACGGTTGTGAACCAGGTGTGTTTGTTTCAACCCACAATCACTTCTAAACTTACCCTCCCTTTCCATCACTTTCTCCAGCTTCAACCCTCACCAAGCTATTAGTTGACTGAAAATTCAACAATGGTTGGGTTTCGATACTTTGTAATAAAGAATAAAATGGCAATGTTTTATTAACACTTGTGTTTGGTGAAAACAAACAAGTTTTCATGGAAGTAAAACTTTTTTGATAGACCTTTTGCAAGGAAAAAAAATGCACTAATCAATGCTTTCTTACTATGGGGATACGATTTTAATACTTGATTGCAACTTGTATTCTGCTGATCTGGAATGTTTCAGAAATAAAGAAATCTATTTCAGCAAAAAACAACACAGAGCTGTCCATCCCACTGCTCCATGTGTCTGTCTGTTGGAGTGACTGGACAGTGACTATTCTCTTAGAATGAGCCTAACCCATCTCCTCTCTCCCCGTTTCTCCCTACTCTCCTGACAACAGAGCCACCAGCAGTGCTACAGCAAGAACTCACTTAATGGCGGTAGCATTAGGTACCCATGACAGCCAACGTTCCTCCAGGAATCTGTCCAATCCTTTGGGTTGTTGTTGTTTTTAAGCCACCTAACATTGTGGCTTCTCCACATCTTGTGACAATTAATTTCATGAGTTCATCACGAACTCTTCAAAAAATAACTGTAGGAAATTTAACAGAAGGCTGCGAGAATTTTGTGAGTGTGCACGCACGCGCACACACACAACTGAGAATCATGACTTTCAGTCAGATGTTTAATTAATTAACACACTCTTGTTTAATTTTCCTCGCTTCGGTGGAGCAGTGAAATAAGATATGCTTGGTGCCTTTTTCGTTCCTGGATTAACCTTAGCTAGGACCTGAGAAGAGATGCAGACTGCACCTTTTTTACCTTGGAAGCAGAGTAAATGTTTGTCATATATATGAGGCCAACAGTTGAAAGTTACTTTAGCATAGTGGCTAAAGAGATTGAGATAGTAGTCAGACAGAACCTGGTTTGGATATCTCCTCTGCCTTGACCTCACTCAATGCCACTCCCTCAGCCTTCCTACATCTGCAATCTCAAGATAATAATATTGACCTACCATACAGGGATGGACACGGGTGGCACTGTGGGTTAAACCACAGAGCCTAGGCCTTGCCAATCAGAAGGTCGGCGGTTCGAATCCCCACGATGGGGTGAGCTCCTGTTGCGCAGTCCCCGCTCCTGCCAATCTAGCAGTTCGAAAGCCTATCAAAGTGCAAGTAGATAAATAGGTACCGCTCTGGCAGGAAGGTAAACAGCGTTTCCATGTGCTGCTCTGGTTCGCCAGAAGTGGCTTAGTCATGCTGGCCACATGACCCGGAAGCTGTACGCCGGCTCCCTCGGCCAATAAAGGGAGATGAGCGCTGCAACCCCAGAGTTGGTCACGACTGGACCTAATGGTCAGGGGTCCCTTTACCTTTACCATACAGGCGTGTTGTAAAGATAAGGTAATATGTGCAAAGCACTAAAAAAATTCCATATAAATGCTAAGCATTATTGTTATTGGAAGTATTTCAGGGCTCCCAGAATTTCCAGTTCATGATCCAAGACATGCCTGCCTGGGTCAACAACATTACAAGCTAGCTGGACTGTCGATTAGTCGCTTCAAGGCAGCTCCTTGCATCCTCCCCATTTTCCAGAAATATTTCAAGAGGTAACTTGAAGCTTACAAGGGCTTTCATGAGATCATTTAGTAGCAAAAGGTATGCATGTATAAATCAACAGTTTACCTACTTATGCCAGAACTCCCACCTTTGCTCAGTGCTTCAGATTAAAATAAGGAGCAATTGAGCAGTAACCCAATTCCTGTCATTTACTCATAGCTTCTAGCTGTTGGGAGATTTTAGAAACGCCCCCAGCATTAGTTTGTATTCCCTGACTCTCTTGTCTAATAGCTACTGACATTTTTTTTTCCTCCGGGAATTTTTTAATCCTTTTTTTTTAAAGAGTTTTATTTTCTGTTCTTGAAACGTTCTATGGCAAATTCAATTCATGGATCAAACTGAGTATTTTGTTTAGACTCTTCTGCCTGCATCTCTTCAGGTTCTCCGCTGTTTTTGCATTATTGAGCCCAGGTAAAATTAACAGCCGCTCCCCATCAACTTACTTCACAGCATTGATGATTTTCTCGTGTGCTTCTGTTGCACCCTCTTCCTGTCATCTGGCTCAAGGAGCCTCAAGTCTATTATGGAAGCTGTTTCATCTCACAGATCATTTTAGCTGCCTTCCTCTGCCCCTGTCCTCCCTTGCTCTGCAACATCAGGTTGAGCTGTGGGTGGAGGAAGATCAGCCCCGAACAGAGAAGTGCAAATACACCTTCGATCCACACGGTGACATTAAAATATGTGCTCTCTTTTTATTGGAATAGTTCTAATACGGACCCTCCCTCTCCCTCTCCCCCTCCCCTTCCCCCTCAGCGTGTATTACTTTGCAATTTCCAACACTGAATTTCATCTGCCATTTTATTGCTAAAGTCACCCAGTTGTGTAATGACCTTCCAGAAGACAGCAATCTGCTCTGGACTTTAAAGCTTTGCCAGCTGTAAAATGTTTCCACCTCAGTATCCCTCCCTTCCTTTCTTGAGGTCACTGTTGAATATGTTTAACATCGCTTCTTTGATGCACAGATGCTTGCTCCCACTTTCCTATTTAGCCTTTCAGTGAGATGCTGACCCTGTCATCGTTCTAGTCCTCAGCACAGCACATCTCTCAACACAGCACAGAAAACGCATTCCGGGGCTTGAGGCAGAAAATCCAAATGGTGCCCCCATGGTGATTTAAAACAACAACAACAACAACAACAACCTAAGTACCTTCAAAAAAATAGGGCTTACGCCAGAACAATATGCTGAAAAAATATGTTTTGAGTTTCCATCTTTTTTAAATAAAAAACCCCCCAACAACTCATTACTGATTCACAAAAAGATCGTCCCTCTTATTCCAGGATGACTTTGTTTTCTTAAGAGCTTTTGATGAAGGGCTTTGTCAAACGCTTCTGAAAATCCAATTGCACTAAATCAACTGGGTCGCCCTGTTCTACATGCTGCCTGACATCTTCGGAGAATTCGGGTAGATCAGTGAGATGTCACTTTCCCTTATTAATCTCACAGTTGACTGTTCCCTGACATAACAATATTTATCTGAGTCTCGTATGCTTTTGCCTAGGCTCCCAGAATTTCTGTGCATTTTCTTTTTACAGTAAACAGGGGTTTTTTCTCTCCAGCTCAGTCCTGTACATATCTATTCAGAAGTAAAACCCCGAGGCCCTCCCATGAGGAAAGGTGTGGCTCCTGCCTCAAGGTGGCAGATTTCTGCCACCATGATAGTAATGCAGACTGAAAGATAGATCTGAACCACAGGGCACAATCAGCCAGGAAATTCTCCTGTGCAAGACCCTCTGAATGAATAGGAGCTGCACAAGAGAACTCCATGTGCTCTGGCACACTTGGATTAATTTCAATGGATCGCATGCTGGAGAATGTCTGGACTGATTTTGCCATTAGTGTAGCCATTTGGATTTTCTACATCAGCTGCCAAGATGTCTTAAGGAAGACCCTAGTTACTCTAAGCTCAGCCAGAAATCTATACAGACAAATTTTCACTGGTCTCTCCTGGCTTTCACATGCATGCAAGGATGTTCAATAGTCATACAAATATAACAATGTGGGCAGAAGGAAAACTGGCCCCAGAGCCTAGAGACGGTGGGTGGGATTCTGCACCATTGTTCTGAATCCCACACTGGCCTAGACTTGAGATGAATAGACTGCTACTCTTAATCAGTAGGAGTGGGAGTATCAAAACCCAACTGCTGGTGTGTGTGGCTGAAGATTTGCAGTGATGGATCCTGCTATGTTCTGGAGAAAGGAAAAGGGAATTCAGGGGGGAAAGACGCCTAACAGGGAGCATGATAGAGGTGAACATGATTATGAATGGTGTGGGAGTACATAGGGAACATTATTTCTTTCTCTCAGTGGCAGTGGATTTAGGACAGACCAAAAAAAAAAGTAGCTCTTCACATAACACACAATAAATTAGCTTACAGAATTCATTACCAGAACATGCAGAGACAGCTTCTAGCTTAGAGGCTTTTCTTTAAAGAAATACGCAAATTCATGGAAGACAGGACTAGCCAAGGCAAGCCAAAGAGACCCTCCATGGCTGGGTACAGTCTACCTCCAGTTGCTAGATGCTGCACAGCTGTGTTACATTGTGCCTTACGGTGAGCCTCCCCAGCTACTTTTGGAGACCACGCTGGGCTCGAGGGACCCTTGGCCTGAACCGAACAGGCATTTCTTATGTTCGTCTACAGATCTGACACTCTATAGAGATGGAAAAACTGGGACTAAGAATACGAATGCTGGTGCTGTCCCAAAGTGTGAGTCCCTGCTGTGCTCCAAAGCTGGGCTGTGACTTCATGTTGATGGTGGCTAATGCACTGTTTACAGAAATCCTCCAGCCTTTGCTCGCTGAGGTTGTGAAGCAAAGTCTGGAGCTATCTCACCCTATGATGGTGTTGCTTCTGTTGAAGGCGAGAAGCTGGGGAAGTGTTAGCCTCAAATCTTGCTGGGGAAAGCAGTTCAATGTTCAACAGCTGACAAAGCGAACCTCACTACCACCTACCTGTGGATCAGATGGCCTGGAATCCTAACGTGCCTACGGATGTCAGCAAGCTTTGTTCTTCCACCTCTTGCAACAGCAAAAAGCACAGTCCAGCGCGCGCGCACTTGGGAGAATAAGTGCCATTGAACTGAGCGGGTTGCGTAAACATGCCTAGGGTGGCACTGCAAATCCTGGGAGCCCGATGCATTTTCCTGTGTTTGGGAAGGGGCTGTCCAAGCACAGCAATGAGGCCCCTTCCAGAGGGGCTGAATCCCCCCCCCCCATGGGTATCCACAGGCAATCTGGAAGATTTCCTCGCATTGTGTTGCTGTGTGTGACGCATTCATTGCTGCCCTGGCTCTGGACTTTTTGTGGGACACCCACCCTGGCCGGTGCACAAGAGGGGCTCAAGTTATCACACTCCTCCCTCCCTGACATTCCTCCTTGCCTTGCTTGGTCACAGTTGTTCTTTGGGCACAACAGGTCTGGGTGCATCATGCATATCAAAAGCTGTGGGGAGCTGGAGCCAGAGTTGCTCATGGAGCTGGGGCAAGGCTGCTGGATAGGACCAGATGAGGCTGCCAAGTACAAACCCAGGAGGAGCTTGTTTTCCTTCATCAAAGGAAGCATCCTTGATCTCTCTCTCTCTCTCTCTCTCTCTCTCTCTCTCTCTCTCTCTCATACACACACACAGACAGACAGACACAGAGCACACTGCACTGAACAGAACAGAACATCCCTCCTTGGTCCACCAAGCTCCACAGACCAGGCGCCCCAGGGCTCTCCAGATCTCTCTCTCTACACGCAGGAAAGCCACCAAGTCCACGAAGCAATCCCACAAAAACACATTTGCTTTTTCACATTGTGGAACCCACGGAGGTGGGGGGGATCTCTCCCTCAGACCCCACAGAAACCCCTTTATCTCACATCTTCAAAACCACCACCCTTTCTTACTTCCAACAGGAAAACAGAGAATTCCCCCCCCCACGGAAAACAAAACCGGGACTCGAGTGGACCCCGTTCCCCCACCGAGCACCCCCTCCCCTCGACGCACTGGAGCCCCGCGGGAGGCAGGCAGCTCCGGACCCGACAGGAGCGTCCCGCAGCCGCCCCGTTTGGGAAACGTTGACCGAAGAGGGGCGGCAGCCCGAGCAGCACGCCCCGCCGCCGCCGCCCCATCCGCAGCCCTCTCTCCGTGGGGAAGCGAAGGCGCGACGGCGGAGGAGAGCCGAAGCCGAGAGTCCTGGCTCCGTCCCCGCCGGGCAGCGCGCCCGGGAGCCCGCCCGCCCGCCACTCACCTTCCCAGCGGCGGCGAGGGGGGACGCCGCCGGGCTTGGGGGAGCCCGCGTGCCGCCGCCGCTTCCCATCTCCGGGCTCGGCGAGGCTACAGCGCGGACTGCGCGCCAGCCTCTTCTGGCGAGGCTGTCTTGTCCGCCCGTGCGTCTGTCTCGCTCGCTCGCCGGCCGCGGTTAACCCTCGGGCTGCCGGCGGGCTGGACCCCCGCCTGCTCGGCGCGCCACCAGAGGCCGCCCCCTCGAGCGGGAGGACGGGCGCGCGGGGCGGGCGCCTCTTCGCGCCGCCGGCGAGGGAATGAACGGGCAGGAGGGCGCCAGGGAGGGAAGGAAGGGGTCCTCTCGGGGAGGGGCTACCGGAGCCGGGGAAAGGGCGCCGCCGGGGGAGAGGAGGCAGCCCCCAAGCGCGCTCCAAAGCCCTCTGGAAGGAGACGGAGGGGCAACAGATCGTGCCACCCGCGCCCCGTCTGCAGCTGGGGCAGCAGCCTCTCCCACAGCCCCGTGGGCGCCCCAGAGCGCAAGGATATATTTTTCTTTAATTTATCAGAGTGCCTCTGGGCATGTGCAGAGTGTTCCCAAGCACGATGAGAGGTCCGCCTCCCGCTTTTGGGAGGAGCGCGAAGGGTTCCGTCCTGGGCAAAGGGGGCGGGGAGGGGATGTGTGTGGCTCCCCCCACCTGGTAGCCTCGGGACCTCTTGCCGTGGCGCAAGGAGCCAGGTCTCTCGTGTGCGCTCTGCCCCTCATATTTCCCCCTTCACACGACCTGCTGCCCCGGCAGACATTGCTTCTGCTCCCCCCTACAACCCCCCCAGCATCCCCACCTCTCCTCCCCCCCAGCCCAGCCCGCGTTGCTAGGGAGCGAGGCGTCTCCAAGGGCCCTGCCGGGCGCAGCACCTGTGGCTGAAGCGGCCTCCGCGCGCACTTGGAGGGCCGGAAAGAGCGAGGGGACCCGGCGCGCCGCCGCCCCTGGAGAGACGGAGGAGAGCCGAGGGGCGGGTGGGGCAGCGAGGACAGGCGAGGCAGGAGGAGACCCCGCTCGGCCTGCCCTCCACCATCCCTTGGCGCTCTCCTCCTCCCCGGCGGCGGCTGCTGCTGCCGGGCTGGGCTCTGCATGGCGGCTCCCGTTGCTCCCTCCGCAGCTCGGTCCCGCTGCTGTGCCGCTTCTTCCACACCACGAAGCCGCCTCGCTCCTCCTCCTCCCCGCCGCCGCCGCCACTCCCGCTTCTAGCGACCCTCTTTCTTGCGCCGCCGTCCTCGTCTCCTCCCTGGCATCGGGGGTGCTTTTCCCCAGGGGACCCCCCTCTCCATACCCAGCCCTCCTTCATCTTCGCCTTCTTCACCCCCCCCCTTAAAAAGGCGAGCCTCCTGCGGTTCCTTGCTTTTCTTTTGAAGCCTTGGGGGGGGGGGGGAGGTTTGCAAGAGGGACGGAGCGTGGCTAGAAGTCTGAATACACCGAGCGCGCACCCGCGTGTCTGGCCAGGGAGGAGGATTTTGGGTCCCGTCTCCGCCATAAGATTACCGTGCATATGTATTCGCCATTAGATGGAATTCAAGGCTCCCTCGGTCACACACCTCTTTGGCTTGGGGGAGTCTCTGGACCACTTTAAGATCTGCCCCCACACACCCGACAAGGAAGCTGCCAGATGAAACATTGAAACTCTAAGGCTGTTCACACGTCGCGCTGCACACGCGTTCAAAGGGTCTGCGCACGTGTGAAGGAGGTGCGTTCCAAAGCCAGCGCCTGGACTAAGCTCGGAATGGTAGAGAGTGGATGGGGAGTGCTGCTGCACACGTGTTGACTGCAGGCAGGTACGATCGTGTGAGGAATGTTCTTGTGAATGTTCCAAGCAGTATCGCTCGCATCGCAAGCCCTGCAAAAGTTCCTCTCGTCGCTGCTCAACAGGGAGCTGCTGCAGCCAGCCACTATTCCCTGGATGCCTGTAGCTATATTTATGCATTAGTTGCTTGCAGAGCCTTGCTGTACTGAAGAAGGAACAAGGGCCGCGCATTTACCCACCTCACCAGTTGCCCCTCCTTCTGCAACGGCCCGATGCGTCTGCCTGCAGTTAACCTCGGTGTCCTGACCGCACCAGCAGGTGCTCCCACCTTGGGATTTCACTGCAGACAACCAGGCTCTCCGATGCAGTTGCTGCAGAAAAGAGTAGCAATGTCAGGGCAGAGCTAAAAGCACAGCCCTGCTCCTCCATCTACAGGATGAGCAATGCATCCATGGGCATCCACGGAATTGCGAATGGCTGCAGCTCCCTCTGTTGTCTTTGTCCATGGAGTTTTCTTGGCAGGGATACTGGAGTGGCTTGCCGGTTCCTGCTCCAGGTAGATCACGTTTGGTCAAAACTCTCCACTATGACCTGTCCATCTTGGGTGGCCCTGCACGGCATGGCTCATAGCTTCTCTGAGTTCTTCAAGCCCCTTCGCCACGGCAAGGCATGGTTGGACAGTGTCCTCGAAGCTACCAGCATGAGTTTGACCAAACTGCAGGAGGCAGTGGAAGACAGGAGTGCCTGGCGTGCTCTGGTCCATGGGGTCACGAAGAGTCGGACACGACTAAACGACTAAACAACAACAACAACAGCTCCCTCTACAGGAGGGGTGGGGAAGTCTTTTTCAGCTGCACTCTCACATGGGCAGCCATCGGCACAGGGGGCACAAGCCAGCGGACAAAGCAATGGGGTGCAATGAACAGCGTAAAGGAAGCGCAGAAAATGCCCTTTCCAGGGGCAATGTGAGCTTAGCTGCCTCAGGAGGCACATTTAAAGGTGGCAGAGTGGGAGGCAGAGCTGATTTGGCTACTTGGAAGTTTTGCTGCCCCGTGGAAATCGGTACAGAAGCTCAACAGGAGCACAGCACCTATATGCCTGGCTAACAGTTTTAACTGGCTTTTCTGACCACATCCAATTAGTAGGTCTGGCAGTTTTGGATCGGAAGAGGCTTGCAGCATTTTGGAAATGGCAGGTGTCCAACTCGGAAGCTTGTAGTTGGGGGTGTCCAGGTAAGAGAGAGAGAGAGAGATACAGAGAATATCTCAGTGGGAGAGCATCTGCCTTGTGGATAGAAGGCCTCGGGTTCAATCCCTCGCATCCCCAGGTAGGCCCGGGAGAGGCTCCCTGCGTGAAGCCCTGGAGAGTCACTGCCAATCAGTGCAGAGACAATATTGAGCTAGTTGGACCAATAATCGTCTGACTCAGTGCAAGGCATCTTGCTATATTCCTGTGATGTAGGGAGTTATTTATGCCTCATCAGATGATTAGACCCAAAGAAGTTTATCCCTAGAGAGTAGCAATTGCTGGCAAGAAAGTCCCCAGATTTTATTTTATTTTAAAGCCTTAAATTGTCAGACTAGAAATACAAAGCACCAGGGTGGTGAATTGGTGGCAGATATTTACAACCTGAATATGGCATTTAAATTCTCTGAATCTTGTGCATATTCACTCAGAAGCCTGGGTTCCATAAGATGTACACTGTAGTAAAGGTTGCGACCTAAGGCTGAGATCCCACGCATGCATGCAGCCTGATCTTATCCATGTTTACTCAGGAGTAAGCACCACTGGCTTCAGTCACCTTCCATATGGCAGGGTGAGGCAGCTGCCTCTGGTGGAAGATGCTGGAGTGAGACTCGGGGGGGGGGGGGCGTAGGGCGTGGACTTTGGTAATCTTTCCTAATATGGCACCCGGTCCGAGGCCAAAATTTGGCATCCCAGAATGGATCTCCTCATTGATGGGTCTTCTCAATTTTGTGCCCCCTCAGCATGGCACCCTATGGGAATGAACCGCCTGCAGTGCCCTAAATCTGGCACCGTGAGACTGCAGTGTCACACTCCCCTACCATTCTTGAGCCTTGTGGCTTTTCCCCTCTGTTAGAGGACAGAGCCGTGTGTGCAACATGTGGCCTGCCTTGCACCCTTTAAACTAGATTACTGCTGTGTGGTGGTGAACGCTAACCCGTCCCCAGAGTTGGCCAGGCCAGGCGGCTTCTGCATTTGAAACAGAGGTGGAAGGGAGGGGGCACCATTGTGTCCTTTGCTTCAGGCGGCAAAATGTCTTGGTCCAGCCTTGGTCACTGTGGAGCTTACTCCCAGGCAGGTGTGCAGCATTGCTGGAGTGTTAGCCTCTTCAGCTTCAGCCGGCGTTTATTTCTGAATTAGCTGGAAACACCTGGCATTGCTTGGGAATTCTAAGGAAAGCTCCCCCCTTCCCCAGATATTGAGATTTATTAATGGGGAGTGTAATTTGCTGGTTTCTAGGGTTATGCACAGCTCCCCTGCCTGACTCTGATCTGGGCCCTAATCAATTCAGGGGCAGAAATAATGTTTAATCTGGGGGCGGCTTCCTACTCCATTCCCTGCACTGGTGAAGTACATCCCTGCACCTTGCAGGATTGCACCCTGGGTGGGTGGCTCCTACACCCTGCCACTGCACATGTGTGGCTGCCATGGCAGGCCTGCTTGCCCTCCCTCTCTGCCATCCCTCACTTCGTGTTATTTTCTCCAGTGTGCCCCTGCTAAGTGCAGTTCATGCCCCAGATGTATTCACCCCACAACCACCACCAATGATGACACCACCTCCCATTCTCAGGTGCCACCAGTGCCTCTGCAGTGTGGGAAGTGGCCGTCTGAGTTGGACCTGCCTCACTTGCCACCCCATCCGCCTCCTGCATCAGCCAAGGGTAAAGGTAAAGGGACCCCTGACCATTAGGTCCAGTTGTGGCCACCTCTGGGGTTGTGGCGCTCATCTCGCTTTATTGGCCGAGGGAGCCGGCGTACAGCTTCCGGGTCGTGTGGCCAGCATGACTAAGCCACTTCTGGCAAACCAGAGCAGCGCACGGAAATGCCGTTTACCTTTCCGCCGGAGTGGTACCTATTTATCTGCTTGCACTTTGACGTGCTTTTGAACTGCTAGGTTGGCAGGAGCAGGGACTGCGCAACGGGAGCTCACCTCATTGCGGGGATTCGAGCTGCCAACCTTCTGATCACCAAGCCCAAGGCTCTGTGGTTTAGATCACAGCGCCACCCGCGTCCCCATGCAAGCCAAAGGCGATTCAAAAATGGCATCAAACTGTTTCCAATGTTAAACTGAAACCTGCTCCTTGACCTTGGAATCCAACATGCCAAACTGGGAAACAGCATTTCTGGAGGTGTCTGAATCGGCACATGTTGGAGCATTTTGGTCTGCTGTCTCATTTCAACATGGCACCGACGGTATCCAAACATAGACAAGAGGCAGCTCGTTCACCCCGGGAGCCGCTTCATCAAACTGTGTGGGGTGC